ATATGAAAAAACCAAATTCCTAACCCTGGTAGGAAGTTGGGGTACCCGGTCAACCGGATACCCGGTTACCCGGTCACCCGTTTTTTCACAAACCTAAAGATCTCCGGTGTTATAGATCCAATAGCGTAGCGTACGCATAAATGGCATACTAGAGAGGTTTCGCAAAACGTTTTTTAGCTCCACGGATCCGTATCCGTAACGTATTTATCAGATTTATGCGTAGTCAGTTCAATTTATACGTGAAATGATACGGAAAACACGAAAAATGAGGCTTTTGTACGTTGGTCATTTACGTATCCGATTTTACCCTTCGATTATATTGTTTTTAGTTCTAAAGGTATCACTATATGAACAACCACAATGTGCTGTGTATAATTTGACTAAAATTTGGTGAATGAATTTGTTTATTGTTTGAAATAAATTGAGTTTTTCAAATAGTATGTTCAATTCATTTTACACTGTATGGAATGGTATTGCAATAATTACAGTGTACATGTTTCGCACAACGTTTTAGCTACCCGTATCAAAATCCGTAACGCATCGATGGAGTAAAAGTGTATTCAATACGTTTGTGATACCAACAGCAATACCGAAAGTACGTAAACTAACACTTTCTGTGCGAGTTGTCTCCGTATCTATTTTGTCCTTCAAATCTTGATAAATTTTTCCCTAAATGTATAATTTTAGTAACACACATATGTTATCATGTGTGTCGTGCTAATTTTGATGAAGTAATAACCTTATCTGCCGATAAATTTGATTATAAGCGATGGGCCTGCAATTTTTACAAATAAAGCTTTAGTCACATTTGCTAATAGGCAGATGTAAGGTCTATCGTTTCTGGGGTCAATAGTAATACCGTAGTCAATTTCTTAGGGACATCAAACCAATGGTTAGCAGCTAGGCCACCTGAATATATATTTTGTGCCTTAAGTCACGCTCCGAATTCATATAGAGCAGGGTCTTGGGCTTAGTTTGAGTATAGTAGCTTGTTCCTGACCTCGACAATGAATGTGATATTGGGTCTAAAGATGGCGCCCCGAATCAATCTTGCCCGTATCCAGCTTGTGGCAAGGGGGGCTTTTTTGGCTTAAAACTCCCTAGAAGTGCTCAGTATGATGAAAAACTGAATGATTTTCAGGTAGCTTCTTCCCGTGGTATGACTTGAACACGCATCAAGTCATGCGATCTATGTCAAATAGTAAGCGGCCTCGTTTGGGGGTCCAGGGAGACTAGTGCCCTAAAGTTTAGTGTCCAAGCTTCCCCGAACCACCGTATCATTTCCTATTTTCATTTTTGTAACGACAGGCCTGACATCCAGATCCTGTAACGGATCTTCTCTCTTACATATGAGTCACGGTAGGGGCCCCAGATGTTCCTAACTCTTGGGTAGTGGTCCATGATGTGTTCTTCATTAGCAGCTTTGTGATGATAGGGAAGGGGGGAGGTTGTAATTCAAGTACATATTCAGTAGATATCGGGTTGTCCCCGATTGTTTCGTGCGGTTGTCTCCAGTTGGAATAACTTAGTTGAGTAAATCGGTATCAACGTTTCGTTGTGGTTTATTGGTTGTGCCTGATTGTGTTTTGATGGGTTGAGTAAATCGATTGAGTATTTGACTAAGCCTGGTTGTGTAATGGTGGGTTAGTGTCAAGTAGGTATAGGTTTTGCCGAAATGTGTTGTGTACGTTTGAGACTAGGTTCTCTTTTGATGGTTGTTAGTCTGGTGATTTAGTATCGGGTTGTGTCCCATTGTGTTATGTTAATCTTATAATGGGTTGTTTTCTCTTGTGAATATGTTCTGTTGGTTGGCTAGCTGGTTGTGGCTAGTCGGGTGAGGTATCTTGTTTTGTCTGATTGTGTTGTGTGATTGGCGTTGTCTCCAATTGGGTTAAGTTAGTTGTGTATCTCGGTATTACAATTTTAATGTGTTTTTTTTGCCTGTGCCTGATTTTGCTTTGATTGTTTGGTTTTGGGTTTTGAAAAATTGTGTTGTGTTACTTGAACAATGGGCTGTGTTTGCTTTTGTTGGTTTAACATTGGGTTGTGCCAAATTGTGTGGTGATAATTTCACAGTTCGATGTGTTTTCATGGTTGTTAGTTTAGTTGTGTTTTATTGGTTGTGCCTGATTGTGTTTTTATTGTTTAGTGTTGGATTGTGCACAATGGTGTTGAGTTAATTCAACACTTGGTTGTGTTTGTCTTTGTTGTCTTATTATTGGGTTGTGACATCATTATTGTGTTAATCTGACAGTTGGTTGTGTTTTGGTGGTTGTAAGTCAGGTTGCGCCATGCTGGCTTTGGTGCCGGGTTATGCTATATTGCGTTCTGAGTATATTGACACTGGGTTATGTTCTATTGTACTGTTGCATGATTGGTGATCTAGGTTGTGTTTGGTTGTAATAGGTTATATATGTCGAGTTGTGGGCTGTGTCCGATCAGGCTGTGGTGTTTATTGGGATAAGAAACAAATGGCCGGTTTAGGGTAATTTGTTGTTGGTTTATCAGTTGATTCTATGTAGACCCCAAAGGAGATATAGGGTATTATGATGGTGAGATATTCAACTGGCATGTTAGGCGTTAGCTTCGCGTCGTTCTCTGATGAGCTGGTCCCATGTTGTTCAATGAATTCAAGAAAAACAATGCTAATTTATCTTTTTACATAATATATTTTTTGTTGATTTCTCATACAAAACATACTTTTATTGCATAACTGATATATTTGTGTCGCTTTCTATGATCAAATATGTTACTTTGTTCCCCTCCTTAGTTTATATGAGGCATGGGTTTTCAACTAAAGCCCATGTATGAGGAAAGGGGGGGTTGGCTTATGTGAAAACGTATGGTTTCCGAATGCCTTGGCCTTGCCCAAGTCGCTATTTTTTTTTTTTTTATCTTGAATTATTACCAAAATATACAGCTGCAAAAACATAAAATTAAAGGTCCATTTGCAGTATGGCAAGTGATTTTAGAAATGTTTACGCATTTTGTGGCATAATGCAGTCACTGCACGTCACTTAATGACCACTATTCAGCCTATTTGTTTTCAAACCCTTAAATATTCCCAAAAGAATAATTTGACACTGAATTGGTTATTGTAAACCGAGAAATAATCTTTTCTGGCCTAAAGGATATTCTTCATTTTGAAATTAATATTGATGTCATGAAATTAATAAATGACACCTTAGGGATGAAAGGGTTAATATGTATTTTTGCACTCACCAAAATTACTTTTGGAGTTGTGATTCTGAAAGCTGACACTCCCAATGGTGTTTTGAAATCTAAGTGCAGATGAAGCCTTTTATTTGACCCTAGTTTTCACTACTATTAAACACAGATTGAGATGCGTTTATAATTACGTACTTCAAAAAACGAACTGCGAAACGAAAATTATCGATATACGTATCCGTAAACGTAACGAGATACGGATGCGGATACGTTTTAGCTAATTCGTTTTGCGAAACCTCTCTACTCTCTAAATCCACACTTAGGTTATCGAGTCCTATGACCACTTTTACATTGTGAACCAGGATGCGATGAACTTTAAGGTACTGCTTGAAAATAACATTTTGGGAAAAAATTGCTAAACCTGCACATGTTATTTTCCGAAGGCATGTGTGTATTTCCTTGCTTTTTTCAGAAAAGTATCATAACACTGTCCACTTTAAGTAAACCTGGAAACGGGTCAATGGTAGCTTCTGTGTTGTCTGGAAATTGTAAAAATAATTGTAAAAAGAAAGAGAGACATATTAGAACTTCCCTGTTCCTAGAATTTCTATTGACCTCTTCTTACCAGAGTTCCTAAAAGACAATGTTATGATAATTTCCTTAAAAAAGCAAGGGAATACTTTACTTTGTACCAGATATTACATGTGGAGGTATAGCAATTTTTACCAAAATGTTATTTTCAATTCCAGCTGTACCTTGATAATACTGCATGGATATTCTGTAAAAATGGTCAATAATTTACATTTTATTAGGCTAATCTATACTAGTCGGAATTTGGTAGTTTAAAGCGCCTCAGAATACTTCAAATGCAATCTCATTTTCAAATTTTCTTGGGGGAGTGACCCCCAAATCCCCCTCAAAGTAGTTTGCTTCGCTCACTTGTGGCATACTCTCACAACATACCCACGCTACACCTCAGAGTTCTATCTATTATTGGGTGGGCAGGCCTTTTGCTTTGGTGGCACATCTGATCCATATGCAATTGTCACTGACTCACCCCCCCCCCCTTGGGAAATCCTTTGGTCAGACCTGCATTAAAGCTACCTACATTGAAGCATGGGGTGGGATGGTATACTCTTTAAAATCTTTGGTGGCATGTAATTAAATTCTTCATAACTGCAGCATTACAATCAAGAAGCTTGGTCCTAAAATCATTATATCTTAATTATTTACCATGTACTAGTTTAAGCAAACGGATGTGTTTTGTTCCTTTTTGTTTGTTATTTGTGTATTAAAACCTCTTGATCATAGTATATTACTCTGTTATACAATGAATAAATAAGGTAATATCTTACATTAAATCCAATATTTAGTGGGATAGCAATAAGTAAAGTATGTCTTAATTTCCTTTGAAAATGAACAAATTTCATAAAAATGCCATTTTGGTCCGAAATGGCTGATATTTGAGGTGCAATTCCAAGAACCAAGACATTATCCTAGCAATTTGAAACTTTGCAGGATTATTTTTGATGGCAAAAGGAATGGGAACCCAAATGTGCTTAGCTCTCGGGTAAAAAAGTGACATTTCCGAACACCCTAATTCACAGGATGATCCGAGGAAGACATTAACCTCCAAAGTTGGAGTAACTTTCTCAAATATAACTGATTTTTTCTGATTTTTGTGTACATGAACAAAATATGGATGGACAGTTTTTCAGAAAGCTAATCTAAAACTAAAAGTGACATTTTTGGTCACGCAATAATCAAAAAATTAAAAAGGTACAAATTGCCCGGCGAATCTTGGAAAAAACCAACTACTAAGTGTAACTGTATTATTGGTTATCAAAAAAACTACTCACTTCATTCGTTATTAGTGTGCACCTCCTCAAACGTTCTTTTGTTTGTCTTATATGATCAAGGACAGTTTCTAGATGTATATGGGTATTGTTTCCGTAGATCTTTTCAAACACGTGATAGGCTTCATTGAAGCAATCGAGCGCTTCGGAATATTGCTGCGTGTCTAAATAAAGACACCCGATGGTGTTTAGGGTGGTCCCAATGTTTGGATGAGCATTGTCACCATAGATCTGTTTAAACATATCAAGGCTTCTCTTGCAATATATCAGTCCTTTGACAACGTCACCTTTTTCGCAAAACGAATGTCCAATACAACCATATGAATTTGCAATATCTGGATGAGGACCGTTACCATATATCTCCCTTTCCATGTCAAGCTTCTCCTGGTAATATTTTAAGGCTTTATCATTCTCACCCTTACAGCCATACACAGAACCAATATTTCCCAATGTACTTGCTATAGCTGGGTGAGGATAGTCCTCCCCGTATATCACTTTCTTCATGGCTAAACTTTCCTCGCAATATCCAATCGCTTTATCATACTCACCTTTACTTGTACATGCATAAACAATATTACCCAATACAAGTGCTATCTTTGGATGAGGATTGTTCCCGTATAACTCTTCAAGCATCGACAGACTCTTTTCGTGATATTTAATCGCTATATCATACTCACCCTTACTGGCATATGCATTGCCAATATTTCCCAATGTATCTGTTATATCTTGGTGAGGCTTGTTTCCGTGTATCACTTGCTTCATTGTGAGACTCCTCTCATTATATTCAATCGCTTTATCATACTCAGCCTTTCTGGTGTATATATCCCCAATATTACCCAATAAAATTGCTATATCTTGGTGGGGATTGTTCCCATGTATCTCCCTAAACATGGAAAGACTCTCTTCGCTATATTTAATTGCTTTATCATACTCACCCTTATTGTCATATAGCTTGCCAATACTTCCCACTGCAATTGCTACATCTGGGTGGGAATTGTTACCATGGGTCACTTTCTCCATCGCATGACAATCTTCCAAGTATTTAATTGCTTTATCATACTCACCGTTACTGTAGTACAATCTAGCAAGCCGATTTCGTATGTCAAGGAGCTTTTCCCTGTTATTTTCAGAATCACTTTGTGAACGCTCTTCTTGGAGAAGTGATTCGATTGCTTTTTGAGTCATGTACATTTGCTCTTGCAATCCAGCGTTAGTTAGTCTACTGATATCTTTATATTTTGACTCGTATTTGCAAGTTAAAATGTCGTCAAAACAAAAACGATTCAACAAAAATTCTGACCATGGAATAAGAGTGCTATAGAACCGGAAGATTTCAGTATAATCCCTCACAGATATCATATCTGATGAATTGGGACCGGTGTTGGTGGGAAGAACAAATGATATATTCTCATGTTGTCTACCAAATCGACCATATACTAAATGCCTCAAGTTAGTCGCGATGCACACCATGACCTGCAAGTCTATCTTAGCCCTTTCAGTTAAAACTCTCATCTTATGCAGTTCTTCCAAAATATCGAGGGGAGAGAATTCGACACAGAGATGCAACAATTTCAGAATATTGATAGATATTGTTGCGAATCTGTATATTCTGTGTTTTGTTCGGACATCTCGATTAAATGCTTCTGGTAGGAGAGGGTCTTGAAAATATTTTTTCAAATCGTCACGTAATGTAACCTTTCCTCTTTCTTTGCTAACGGATAATTTAAGACTACTCTTGATTGATGGTGACCGCATTATCGCGTGAACTTTTTCATTGTATTCCTTCCAAAGCAAATCATCTCCGTGTAAGAAAGTAGATGTCAGGAGAACATCACTAAGATTATAACCCTCTCTCATTGACACCTCTTCAAACTGGCAATTTGACATTTCATCTAGGGTCATGATTAACTCAAAGATACTGCTTTTGAGGGGATCTTTGGTCGATCTTCTTCCATGAGGTGTTTTGCTAGCTTTAGGTGGCGTACCATCAAAACATAATCCCTGTGGCGTTACATTATCTCGAAAATCGTTATCTTTTACTCCTTTTGGGAGTTTACTATTCCAATCTTTTAACACGGGAATATCTAAACCATTGACAAGAGTTTCACCCAAATTGATAACCTTAAGATGGAGATAATGCACAAGATCCCTGAAATACTGTTTTATTTTCTCGATTTCCTCATCGGTCTTACCTGAAGGGTCAAAAATGATGGCAGATTCAAGATCTGACCAGGCAGTCGCTTCTTTCCTAGCCAGAGAGCCGAGGCCTATCCAAGCGTACCTACAATCTGGCTTACCCATTACTGAAATGCACTCATCCATTAAAAGACTATGGAAGCCTTTAATTTTACATGTCAATTCCTCATAGAATTTCTTGCTATGTTTTATCATACTTATCTCACTGTCTTTGGTCATATCAAATGTTTCACTGTCTAACTGCATATCATTAGTGTGAATGTTATTAACCGTTTCATTTGAATATTCTCTGAGTTTAGTCAGAGTTTCCTTGTACCTCCTCGTGTAGTCTTTTGGTGATTCATCCTGCCCTTTTGACACTTTGGCCACCAACAGGAGAAAGTTGGTCTCTAGCTGTTGTAATGCATCATTGATCTCATAAGCGGACGGCTCGTTGGCATAATCAACAGAAGACTTGTCCTTGTTGATGCGATGCAGGGCAGCATTGTATAAAGTTGATGCCCAAACAAAGTGCCAACCCTCTTTTGTCTTTTTGGCTAGATCTGCGTACATGTTACCCAATTGAACCATTAATCGCGCCTGTTTCGAAAGTTCATCATTTTCGTTACATTTTGTTATTTGTTTGCCAAGTTCATACATAGCTGGTGTAGCTTCTAAAAATCAAAGAAAAAATTGTATCAATTGTTAGAGGATGTATATTAATATCAAGGACTAGAAAACGTTCAAAATTGCTGAAAGTACGGGCCATTATTAATATATTGCATAGTGCTAAGAGTATTTACAAATGTACGCCTCAACGGAAATTTAAGGGAAACTGTTTTTTTAGAAACGCAGAAGACGCATATCCATATTTTTCTTCAAGATTTTGAAGTTGTATTAATTTATGTGAAAAAATGATATAAAAACATGAGTCTCGACTGTTTTTGTATGTTCGGAAAACTGCGATATGACGGCCATCCCACTCCGATATAAGAAGTAGGATTGTACTAATTTAGCAAATCATACCATCGTTAACACAGTCCTCAGGTATATAGTCAATGAGAGGGGTCTTCGTTTTCACATCCGGCTTTTCTTCTTCTTTTTCTTTAATCAGTATTTCCAGAAGCATTCTAAGTTGCTGTATGATGCCTTAAATATAAATTCACAAAAATATATACAGGGTGGGCCAAAAAATTTTGCAACTTTTTTAAAAGGCTAGAAAAGTATCATAACATTGAGGTATTGACATAAAAATTGATTTACAGAAACTTTAGGATAGGCATATTCTACCATTCAAATATTTAAGCTAATACTGACTTCTATTTTTTTCAACAGATCTTTGAATATCAGTGTTAAATTGTTCATGTGTCCAAGATTCACCATTTTTCCTAGAAAACGTGACTTTTTATGATTTTATGTGATCAACAATAACACATTCATTATGTTCACTAAATCTGCTACAATCTTTGAAAATTGTCTAGCCAATGGCTAGTACAGTTTTATATTAGTATCTACTCACTAAGGTATTATGTTATCCTATATCTATTAATTATCTATTTAAAAATGAATCCATGCATCTGCCTTTCACCTTCACTATCACACAGATACGAGGGTGGCACTGCAATGGCGCCATCCAGCGATTTTGTGGTAGTTCTTTCTAATTCTCCTGCAGTACCTATTTTAGTGGATCAATAGGTTTTGTGGGGATTACCAATAACTGCAATAAACTGCTCCAGGTGCCCCCATGTGAGATAGTCACAGGGGTTGGCATCTGGCGTATTGGGCAGCAATTCATCAAGACTGATTAATCTAGAGGTATCCTCCTCCAGTCCAAAGTGACCCTTGCCCGATGGCTGGGAGCGATAGTGAAGGTAAAATGTGGATGTAAGAACATGTGATTAATAAATAATTAATAGATCAGTATAACATAATACCATAGTGAGTATATACTAATATAAACTACTAGATATTGAATAAACATATATCAGAGATTGTAGCGGATTTAGTGAACATAATGAATGTGTTATTATTGATCACATAAAATCATTAAAAGTCACATTTTCTTGGAAAAGCAGTAAATCTCGGACACATGAACAATTTACCACTGATATTCAAAGATCTGTCCAAAAAATTAGAAGTCAGTATTAGCTTAAATATTTAAATGGTAGAATATGCCTATCCTAAACTTTCTGTAAATCAATTTTTATGTCAATACCTTAATGTTATGATACCTTTCTAGCCTTTCGAAAAAGTTGCAAAATCTTTTGGCCCAACCTGTATGTATAGATATGTATGCATGTATGTAGGTTATTTCATGCTTGATTTTCAATATCTATTCCAGGGTAATATGATTTTTTTGTAAAATCTTTTTATTTCTTAACATATGTACAACATGTATGCATTATATTACATAATTACAGTTACAATACAGAGTTAAAAAAAACTATTTACATTTAACTAACAATTTTCAATAAATGTACCACCCTCTTAAGAATTAGGTTTTCATAATATATATCTTTTATAATATGATATTGACCGAGGGAAATATGATATTGACCAAACGTACGTAGCGAGTGCGTGTCAATATCATATTTACCGAGATTATGGTATATAGAAAGCGGGATCTACAATAATCGAACTTGATAAAAACCCAAGTATGTAAGTAGTTGTCCAATCCTTCTTATCACATGTTTAGAAAGGTGTTTGTTAATGACTTCACTGGAATGTATTTCATTACCCGATCGATCCTAAAATTTATGGATGATGTGGAAAGGTCAGTATTTGGAAGTTTATAGACGGCACGATCTTATAAATTTTCTGAAATACCATAACAATCTTTCCAAAACGGTGTATGTATAAAACCTTTTTACCTGATGCAGATTGAATAAAATACAAAATATCCTTGACTGAATATTTAGTGACACAGGTTACAATATTTTCCAGAGTCTTAATATGGAGCTTACCATTCTGATGGGTCTCATCACTGTCTGTACATTTATTAACAGCGCACAAAGTGTGGTAATCTTTCAATTCTTCCAGTATCGTCTGGCCGGCTGCAAAAACCAGAAACCATTGGCAATAAATAAAAGAGGGCCTATTGTTCTTCCTTGACTAATTGCGACTACAGCTAAAATTCTATTTCTCGAAGTTAGATATTGCTCAGTTGCTCATAAAACAACCATCAAGACTTGGTCGAATTCACGAGTCATTGAGAAAAATCGTTTTTATTATCTTCCTAAAATCTGATAATATCCAGCAGTAAGGTCAAAGAAGAAATAACCATCAGGTATCTATAAAATTGATTCATTCGAAGCAGAATGGTGTTTGGATATACATGTTTGCGCTATATACCCGTACGTGCGTTATAGTATACCTGAGTGACTTGCTGCATCTTTCCTTTGATTCAGATCTTTTTGAATAGCTTGGCTGCCCTCGGAATAAAGTTTTTCTCTGAGTGCGTTACCACGTTCTTCAAGTCTTTGTTTGAGTGATTCTTTAACGATATTTGAGGGCAATGTGGGGATTTGTTCACCTTTCACATTGTCTGGAATCAAAGAGATGTTATGGGCGTCGTTGTATTTTGCTAACTTTTATTAAATATCTGTTTCGATCTATAAAATCTAAATGAAATCATTCGCTATTAACGAAAATAATAATTTATTTTTTATATGGCTTGCCCAGAGTAGAGAAAAGAAACGCCAAATGCAAAAGTATCTGAATAAGGACTTCAACGTATCCTATTTAAGAGATTACCTGAGTCTGATATTGCTTTTTCGTTCATTTTTGTCATCTGTGGGACGTCATGAACATCGTTCTCCGTTTTGTTGTCTTCAAGTTTCACATACTTTTGGGATTCCACAATAAAGTCTGTCAGAAGCTTTCTCGTTTGATGTACATTATCTTTAATTTGGATATCACCTTGCATAATCACAATAGTTAAGTGTAAAATATTAGTTAATGATATTTTATGACAACACATTTCTGGCTAAATTTGCGTATCGGGGGAGAGAGATGGTGAGCCTTAACAAACAATATCATGACTTTAACTCACGAAATTCAAAGATCCATTTATTTTTTCAATTAGTAAGGCTATATCATTTTTTTAATCCGGATATTACCTTTTTTCTCAACAAGACTGACGAATTTGAGCTGAGGGATATAGCCAAGTTTGGCTTGCTTTCGCTCCTGATTCCCATTCTCACCAGTCATTATGTACGGTTCATCAACCCCGGCGATATGAACAACAACGTCCATGTTATAGAGTTGTGTAAATGCGTATAGGATGACATTGTCCCCCCACACTGTTGAATCTGTCATATACTCGCTTGTGTACCATACTAGCTGTACATCGTAAATGTCGTCTGTAGCGCTCAGATCCCTTGCTGATAAATATGTCTGCCAAGGTTCATTTTTATCAGCATCAAACAACGCCATAACATGATCACAATTTGGCTAAAAATACAGTATGGTAAGGAACTACATCAGACTAACAAAATTCATGAAATTCATACATTGTAAAGTACCAGGCCATATTGAAGGTTAATTACAAATGTGACCAAACCCACTTGAGACTCTGTATATTTATTTGAAACATAAGGTAACGTTAGTAAAAACATTTACAGGGTAACCCCAAGGAAATAAGAATAAAGGATTATAACGTACATAATTTTGATTTAGATAATCAAAACTGCATGACGGAGTAACTAAACCACTATACATACCATTTATCGTACTTAAGTACAGGTATATGCCTGCAGTCGATCGCGATCGACACAATCATTCTTAAAGACTTCATTGAGCATACATTACCTTTGTTGAATATAGCATTACTTTCTTTGTTGAATATGGCACTTTTGTTTGCAACATAAACTGTTTATCAATATTAACTTATTAGAAAATATACATGAAGTCAAAGTATCAATCAGTAATCAAACTTAGACTTCGACTTTGATTTCGAACATCTTGTAGAGTGGTACCTGAGTTGGATGTCCTCTGATATAACTGACCAAGTGGTCTCTTAGTTCGTGATTGTTCATTCGAAAAGACGTCAACAACATTAGTTGGTCTGCCAGAGACTTAAAGAGGCAATCACCCTTAAAGTCGATCTCAGAAGTATCAAGTTCAAGGCGTTTGTCAGCTGACATAACCCGTGTGTGATCTGTATCTTTGGTATCTAAAACATTTTATTTGCAGAACTCCATTTATGCATGTCTGTTCCAAGTGAAATCTTTACATGCAGAGTTGGCTTGACATTTTTCGAGTCAGTTTTATTTAAACAAGTTATATAATATAACTTTTACTGTCAGTCATACTGACAAAACGGAAATGCAAGATATAGCCAAGTCTTACTTTCTTTTTTTTCTCCAATAGGTCCGGCATTTATATATAACTTGCTGGAATTACACCTGAAAAAACGCTAAAAGCGCTATAGTGAAAAGCGCTTTACAAAATCGTCATCCTGATTACACCAACATTTCTAAAGCGCCTTAGGAATTTCATTTTGAAATTACATATGTCTTTTCTAAAATTCTTTTCGTGCACTTTTAAAGATGTAGATATGGAGAATATCCAGCAGATGTGTACATCTACAATAAATGTAATCTTTTAGCATCTAGGACAAAACGTAACCGAGACTTTTGCCAGTGATGTGAACTTACTTTCAATTTTTGCGTTATAATTTGATGACCTATTGCATGATTTTTAGGTCCAATCCCTCATTTCCTGTATTTTTGCGGTGGCCCAAATGTGTAGCATCCTAAAAACGTCTTACGTGTATTTCGTTTAGGGCAAATGACAAAAACCCGGGTAGCGCGTTTTACAAAAAAACGATCCGTATTACACTACACTCCAAAAGCGCGTAACGATTTAAGGCGTTTTTAGTGACTAGGGTTCTAGGACTTTTGGAAAAGCGCTTTTGTAAAACGGCGATTTGCGCCTTTCTAAAACGCATGGTGTAATTCAAGCTACTGCGTGGTTTAACAAACTCTGGCGCATACTAGACCATCTTTACCTTTTTCGATCCGAGGACCGGGGTTAAGCTCTATTCCTCCAATTACGAGAAGAAGTGTAATCACAGCAAGTGATTTGTACGGGGGGCTGATTGTCTGGTCGGTATGTTTAACCCTGGTCCCGCAGTCGGCCGTGTGGCTGTTGCTGATGCCTGCAGCACGAATGGGGTTAAAGCCGCCTATGGCAGAACGCCATTGCTCTACAGAGTTACCCATAACTGCGAATCTGAAGAGCTTCAACATGTAAAATGTTCTATTAACTGCCACAATCAAATGCTGGATAAATCATTGTTTGTAACAGTTCAAGGACTAATATGAATAATTCATAACCCAGATGCTAGGTTGTTATCAGTTTCACCGCTAGGTGGCTAATTCGGGTCAGATAACAAGGGAGATGTATTAGAACGTCCCCTTAAACGTGATTATTTATCAGTTCTAGTGAATCAATTTTCATATTACTCTTATGTCTCTGATAGTTAAATTTATTAAAGTTGATAAACAAATTTTGAAACTACATTCATTTTTCTAGATGTTGATTAACATGTAGATTTCAAATATGATGTCACGTTGACTGCATTTTGAATATTTCAACATCAAAATCAATATTGTTTCTACTCGTATCTAGTCCTATTAGGCAAGTTGTGGGGTAATCATCATTATATTTAATGGGAATTACTTAGGTTAACTTCAATTTAAGGGTTAACACGGGTTGACACACTTGTCAAAATATTAACAGTCTACGAGCGCTATGTGCCACCAGTCACGTACACCAGTTAGTATACGTGTTTGAACAATAGAGAGTTTAAGCTTGCAGTCTTTTTCACAACTTTACCGTTAACGGAAATTACTTGAACCAATATGTCGAGCTCGCTTACAAATGTACATAATCGAAGCGCTTTAGTCTACTTCAGATACGTGTTTGATTTTATATGCAAGCTTGAACTCTTTATTGTTTATTGTGTTGTATTTTTTACCATCGATGGTACCTCTTGGGTATATCCCGTAAATATACGGTCGTAAATTAACACATTATCATGAAATGCAGATCCAGGAACCCCTCCTTGAAGGAGCCCTGTGTTATTTTGTGTGCACTCAAAAATGGGCATACAAGTTCACACCACAGCCTTTTTACTTTGGGACCACTCAGTAAAACACCCTTAAGTACTTTACTACGCAACAAGCAATTTCAAAGTGCCTGAACCGGGGATCGAATCCGGGACATATGCGTAATTGTAGCCTTGCCCAAGTCGGTATTTTTTTTACTTATCTGATCTTGAATTATTACCGCCTTGTACAATCCAATACATCTCCGCTGTTATTATGCGGAAATATTCAACGGTTTCGAGATTACCATAATACCTACGCTATCAGGGGTATCGCGAAACCTATTGATTGAGAGATACCGCGTGGACAGTGTGACTTCAAGGCTGAATGACCAATCAAAACGTTATCAGGTTGAGCTGCATAAACAAAACAAACTTCCCATCTACGACTTGAAATTAAATGATCTGATCGAGTGTTTCGTTAGAGTTACAATATATTATGTAATTAAATGTACATTGGAAGGTAAGAGTCATTAATATAAATTAAATCATGCGATTCAATGTTGATTTAAAACTGATTTCGCGATGAAAATGCACGAAGACCTTGTCCAATGTAGCGGGTCATGTTGTCGTCGATCGGTGATTGAATCTCAGCCTACATGTGCAGCGATCGTTTCAACGTTTATTGTTGAAATCTTCTCACCTTTGGTTATCGATGCCCCGGCATCCACTCAACTCTCATTGATATTTATCTGATAAAATATTTGTATTTTCATGAATTCGTGCTCAGATTCGTGCAAGATTTGTTCGTGAAAAGTCCCGGTGAAAAGTGTACTTGTTTTTGACCGTGCATAATAATGAGGTAATGCTACAGGGCCGTCGTTGATTGGTCAAATTTTACCGACATCAACAAACTGTCGGTCATAATAGGCGGTCATAATAGAAATCAAGGTAAGTAAAAGAGACCGACTTGGGCAAGGCTAGCGTAATTGGTACATGTGCTCTACCACTGAGCTATACGGGTGGACGTCATTTTAGCGTCATGGAGGATGACAAAGTTACATGAATGTATATGTCGATGCTACATATTCGTTTTTGTCTCTATTACATGAGCAAGCTTAAACTCTCTATTGTTTGTCAATTGTCAATACTGGACAGACAATGTACAGAGGAAATGATCATATGTAGAATTTTGTCATTGTTTGAACAACGAGCTCTATTTGGTTTCTTTCGGAGGTAAAGGGTGAAGACAAAGAATATTTTAAGAAGCTATAAGTTAAACGAATGCGAAAAAAAATAAAAATGATTTTCTATACATCTAGTAATTTCCTATCAGATGAAGTCATTCTATTTATCAATGTTGAACACGGTAGGAATTAACACATCATTCACATGATAAAAAGGGCATTACCCTATTCAAATATACTCACAAAATGTTCAACTCCAACAGCTTCACTCCATCGGGATAGGCTGAACACTGCTTTTACATCGTCCCAAGATTCTATTGCGTCACATATTGTATTCCCAAACCATTCATGTTTAGGAATGTCGTCATGTTAACACATTTAAAAGACATATATCTTTAAAAGACATATGAGTCAAGCTCTCAGTACAAAGTGTAGTATTGATCAAATATAATTGATTTATAATATTGTTGACACTAAGATAACACAAAACGAAAGAGTATAATAATCGTGACATGTTTACCAATCTAACATAGTTCATCTCGGTGAAAGAAGTTTGATCTACCACGAACACATTCAAGTTGGGTTAACGTGACTTAGTGGAGTCGCTTTTACAAATGACGAAGCAAGCGAAATCATTAAAAGCTATACATAAAATGAGAGACACTTCGCATTTCAGAAAGTACAGTGAGGCAAAGTGTCTTCATGTACAGGGTGGGCCAATGAAAATTGGAACATTTTTCTATTTATTCTATTTCATTTGTTATTGCAGGTCAGTCCACAAAAAATAGATTATGGTAAAATGTTTATTTGTGAAAATGTTAAAGAACAAAGTGTGTATGTATAATCCGAACATGACTGTATTCACGCCTTCTATAAACTGTGAACAAAGTCATCATTTCACCCGGGGCATATTCGCGAACATACTCCTGGTGATATGAGTTAGTGTATGTGTGACGTCATAACGGCGGGCAGTAGTAATGGCGGACCATAATGAATATTCGAAACATTTTGGTGAGTTTTCATGTTCGAATCGTACTATAAACCTCAGAACAGGGGTAATATTGTCGAATACACCCCTTAGGCACGAAAGTTTTCGAATCCCTCACTCTCTTCGGTTGTTGGGGTTACAGAAAACGTTTGTGCCTAGCCCTGCGAGGTGTATTCGACGATATTATCCCTGCTATTCGGTCTATATTTCTTAAATTATTTTGGCTTGTCATGGTCATGATCTGTATACTGCGTGAGTTTTGAAAAAATCCAAATTTTCTCTGCTTGAGACATCATTGCTGAAAATACGTTATCTCATACCATACGATATATGCCCTTCAAATGGTCTCAACACAATTTCCATCAATTGAAACATATGTATCTCTAAGAGAAGCTAGACATGTCTCCCTTGGATAACATGACTTAACTGACTTCAGCTTTTTTCAAAACTAGCACAATATATCACTTATGCCGAGCATGACTGTCAAATACTGCTCAGACTGATTGTTCAGGTTGGTGGAGGACATGTTTAGTAATTAAATGTTAAGCTTGTATATTCATATTTACAGAAGCTATTGACAATGAATTGTTTTTCAATTTTCTAAAGTACTGAAGATAATACACCACTAACAAAAAATTACAATCAATTGAAAAATGTTCCAATTTTTTGGACTCAACGCAAGGGTTTCCTGGACTTGTCTTCCACCCACCTGAACAATCAGTCTGAGTTGTATTTGACAGTCATTCATGGATTAAATGACACGTTTTGAGACAGAGCTAAGGTCATTTAAGCTATATTATTTAAAGGAGACATGTCTTGCTTCTCCCAGAGATAACAGCATATAGTTGTAGTTGATGGAAATTGTGTCGAGACCATTTGCAGGGTACATATTGTATGGTATGAAAGATATTGTATTTTCAGCAGTAATGTCTCACGCAGAGAAAATTTGTAAATTTTTCATGACAAACGCAGAATACAGATCATGACCATGATAAGCCAGAATTAATCATACATACATATTTTTATCTTAAGCATTTTCACAAATAATCATTCTACCATTATCTGAATTTTGGTGGATTGAACTGCAAAAATAAAGACAATAGAATAAATAGAAAAATGTTCCAGTTTTTATTGGCCCACCCTGTAGTCATTGATTATAATTAGGACTTTGGCAAAACGTACTTTCGGTAATAACTGATATATGTATTCTTAATCCCCAACTCCTTTTGATAAACATGGTGTGTAACCACCCAATCTCCACAACCGTGTCCCATTTTAGCAGAGAACCCCCGACGTTCAGGCTTTTTTCTAAAACCCTTATCATTCTCCAAGTTAAGTGATTCGAAACGTGTTAAAAAGTCTCAATTTTAATAAAGCATTGCTTAGATGTACAGTAGAATGCCCGGGTTACTATACTAGTAACAATGTCAAAACAGTGAAAAATCAAGATCGAAACTCACAATCTCCTTACATTTTTGAGAGCTGTTTCAAAAAGATTATTTTACACTTCCAGTCAATCTTGTATGACAATCTACAACTGGTTAGCATAATGGAGAAATGTTAAGAAGGCCATAATGGATTTCCCCTCCTCAAGGTATGGCAGATATCATTTTTATCGCCGAGTTGATTGCAAATATCAACACGAGTGAGCGAAGCAAATGAGTGTTGATATTTGATATCTACGAGGTGATAAAATGATATCACGAGAAATTATGTGATATTGGGTGATATGATTACAATCACCTTGGGATGTTCTGATCCAATTTCCAGGACATTGGCAGACAATATAAACTAGAAATTAGAATATCAATTGAATATTTGAAACACTTTATTTTAACAATTAAAAGTAAATAACATGATATTGTTCGTCATAAATAAACAAACAGAATTGATAAAACAGTGAAAAATGAGTGGTGGAATGATAGTTGTGAGACCCTCAAAAGAAGGAAAAATCATTTGCTAAATATATTCAGACAATCAAATAATATGGATGATTTTCACTTAAAAAATCAATGTAAAAAAGAATTTAAAGCGCTGTGTCAAAAATGTAAACTTAATTTAAAAATCAAAAACAGCTCAGAATTACAAGATTCAGCTAAAGACAATAATCATCTTAGGAGTTATGTAAAAACTAATTTAGGGTCAAAACCGCAATGTGGTAACATTTCCTCAAATTAGTGGTATGAATATTTTAGAGTCCTTTTAAATGACAATAAAAAACAAATTGATCATGATTTTGAACAACATGTACATAATACTTTAATTGAACATGATAATTCATGTATGGAATGTCTTAACAACTATGGATCCATAAATAATGATATTGAACTCAGGAAAATATCAAATGTTATCAAAAATATGAAAAGTGGTAAGTCTCCAGGTCAAAGTGGTATTACAATTGAATTTTTAAAGCAGCCATAAGCTATTTCAAACAATCATGAATGCAGGCATTTTTACCGATCAGTGGACTTTAGAAATATGCATTGTTCAAAAAGGGAGATATAAATGTTCCAAATAAGTACAGACTAGGTACTTATTTTGAGCCAAATGTTGCATTCAAACTTTTTGATGGTATGGTAACACCAATTGTGCTGTATGGTTCAGAAATGTGGGGCTATTATAATGTAAACTCAATTGAAAAGGTTCAAACAAATGTTTGTAAATTTTTACTGAAGTTAACAATACCCCAAATGCTACAGTACTAAGTGAAGTAGGGAGATACCCTATGTAAGTACTTTATATCAACGAATACGAATGTCACTTTTGAAACCATCGAGTATCATTTTTGAAACCATCGAGTATCACTTTTTAAGAAGTAATATTTGTCATGTTGCCATGGGATAATATCGTCCAGGGGATTCTTCTCGATGTTTACATTTTATTTCTATTTTATAAAACTTGTTAATAGAATTTGAAAAATGATGAACCAATTAATATCATTTAATGTCACAATCATTGGCTGAAGACAAATCAAACTTGAAAATGAATAAGTTTCAGAAAAAATATTATGGAATAAATAGGTCATTGATGGTCGTGCTGGAATATGAATTTTTCTTTAAGAAAATATGAATTTTTCTTCAAGAAAATATGATATTTGCATCGGAAAATATCATATTGACACTCTGTAGCCCTCGTTCATTACGATATTTTTCTCGGCCAATATCATATTTCTCTCGGAATAAAATTTCTATTCGATCCCTACCATTAAATAACCTCTATATATCCTATGAAGAAATATCCTTGATATTCACAAGAGGATATTAAAAACCATATGCGATTTTCCGTTTATCCTATGATAAATTATTACCCATTGAACATTTCAGATAGGACTTCCATTACTTCGCCTGACATTTTGATTACAATAATTGAACGAACGTCATAAATGTGACGGGCTGGGCCGTTTAACGACGCAACACATTAACACCATAAATAACACCATAAAAAAGAGAGCCAAAAAATAAGATTTTTTTTACAGAATTAATTTTAAAAAATTAGAAGAATCGAAACTTCTAAACATCACTTTTGAAACCATCAAATGTCACATCTGAAACCATCGAATAACACTTTCTAGAAGTGATATTCGATTAGTTGATTTTCGCTAGAATAATGATATCTATTATATACCTTCACTCGATATGCTATTGATTTATTCCTTATACGACATTGTCACATTGCAATTTTATGTTTGGTCACCATGTGTTTGCAATATAGAGCTTAGTGTCTATGCAGAGTAACTATTTTGTTGTTAGGATGCAACTGTGTGCATTGAATGATATCTTTACGTTTGTATATGTAATCATCATTTTAGTTGTTTAAGCGTACCATAACCATACTAGTCACATAGAAAAATGGCCTAGAATTGTCCTAAGCTTAATACGAGATACAATCCATGACACTCTATAATGATGCAAAATGGCGACAATCCCCCTCCCCCGATCAAGACTGGGTATATCGGATCAAAATGTTTTGACAAGAGCTCCCTGAAACCGTTTCTGAATTTATGATACGTTTTATGACAAGAAGTCTAAAACAAAATTGCTGTTATTTTTTGTACCTCTCTGCATACATCAGAAGCATATTGAGACCAAAAGAAACCAGCGCCATGATGGCAGATATACCAAATGACCATCTACTACACAGCCACCCAAAACATTCTATGGATCCCACGGGGCTGTTTAGATCATAAAGTATACCAAACAATTTTTGAAATGCAAGCGCCCCAAGACCATCTGCAACATTAAGTAAACCATGGTTTTGACCAAAATACGTACTGCCAAATAGCTCTATGACAACTACAGACAGAAAGACAAAGAATGCTCCATATACCGCACTCATAACCATAGAAAAACAAAACAAGATTAGAAAGGACTGATTGAAAAACATAAAGATGATTTGGCAAATGGGTGTAAGAATAGCTGGAAGTAGCATAACTATGGAGATTGGTAGTTTCTTCCAGTTTTTCAAGATACAATCAGGTAGTATTCCACTTAGAAGGCGACCCATTGAGCTAAAAATTGGAATAACTGTCGTAAATAACGTTGACTTTGTTTCGAGATGTGCAGATTTTACGACAATTGTGATATTGTTTAGGAACGATGCACCGATTCCACCTATGATCAGCACTATCCAAAATAAAACATGACATCTAACAGTTTTTAAAATTTGAAGACAGTTTAGATCTGATGTGTCATCTGAAATGAGAGGAATCTTATCATTTTGATTTTTGTTTTTGTCCGTCTTGCTGTTAACTTTGTTATCATTGGCTGGAAAATTGTTATTGTCCTCTGTATTCTCATTTAAAGCTTCCACGTCTTTTAGTTTTGTTTTTTCAGAAATTGGTATCGGTTCTATGGGCATTATCTTTAGACATCCAGCCCCAAGCAGATTAACAAAGACAGCACATGCAGCGAGCAGAATCATGTATTCTCCAACATTTTGATTCTCTTCGTCCATAATATGCCCTTTCACAAAATATCTGTCATATGTAAGACTGAAAATGCCAGGGCCAATGCCAAACATAGCAAATAGAAGACCGTTAACTTTCCCACGATACTCTTTGAAATTAATTGAGTTGGTTCCTAAGGAAACAATAAAGGTAAAGGCGTTTCCTATCATTGTGATGAAATAAATTATGTACATCAGCCAAATGTTTGAAGTGAAAAACTCTACGAATCGTGTTGTCATCCACATCAGAGTATACCCAAAGCCTGTTATTACAAGTCCTGTTATGGACGTCACTTTTGGTCCAAATCTATCGAAAATAATTCCGGCGGGGAGACCTCCAATATTTGCTCCAAAAATGCCACTTGTTGCGAGGTTCTCGATTATTGTTTGAGTACAGTTTAACTTTTTCTTCAGCGCTACTGCAAATATGTTCCAGCCATAGTATGCAGTTCCGCAAAAAAGCATTCCGAAAAGTCCTACAAATAATGAAATGTATTTCTGTATCTTTATCAAATCCATTTTAGTGGTATGTTGTATTCTTTATTAGGTTTATTTATTTGAGTCAGTCCCACCTCGGTGTGGTGCTTTTATTCATTTTTGTTAACATCATCTTTTCAAAACTCAATTCTGATTTTGCGCTTATCACTTTTCATATACGGATATAATTATAATTAGTTGATAGAGTCGATGAACAAAAATAGATTATTAAACTGCCTAATAATGCCAGCATTTGCTTAACTAAATTATACATTAATGTAGGTTTATAGTGATAATGCCCACACATACGTAGGATTTGAATTGCATATGAATGAAACGTCAAGTTTATTTGCATTAATGAGAATATGTTCTGATAATGCATACATATGATTTGCATGAAACTTATCATTAAATACAATTTTTGCGCAAATAAAAAAAAAGCCTTTTTACGCAAATAAAAAAAACTATCTTCCTGCGTTGGCGGAGTCCGACACGCGGATTCCTCGATGGCAAATATACAAAGCCGGTTTCGAGTGATTTTTTAATTCACCAAGAAACCGGTGTAAAAGGGTAGGGGTCCTATCAAATTATGGTCCTACTCTCCATTGATGTATAATGGTGACCTAAATACAACTCTTTCCCTTATTATCTTATACGCAATAGGGACCAGTAAGGGCAGTTAAGAAAGGGGACCATAATCCCTGGGGACCATCATTTTTTCACACCGGCTTAGAAAACGGTTTTGAAACCCTGCCTTTGGTGATTAACTGGCTTACAGTATGATTGCAAAAATTATATTAAGTTCTTTGTTATTAAAAGTTTTTTTGCAAATTTCTATTTTGTGCTATTTGTCACATTCTAACCATGAATATCGATGAAGAAGATTGCGCTACACAATATAGGCCATGGCACAAGCTAAGAAGGGACAATCTAGGAAAGGGGAATATTTGAATACTGTCTCACGATCATTTTGATGTGCATGTCTTTCTTAGATAATTTGTATGTAAAAAGGAAAATTACGTTAGATCTTAACATATGTGTTTTTCCACACCCTGTGAAAAATGTCAAGTAGAGGTCATTTTTCTCTTTCTCAGAACTTATAAATCGAGAAAATAACTACAAGAACTGTTAACTTTTTTTCAGTTATCGATTTCCGCATTGTTTATAGCTTGTTTTGATTGGATGCAGCCTGGATATATGTATTCGTAAGACTCTACAAATAATTAGCTTTCTAATTGTTACTCAAATAATGAGGCAATTTAGAAAGCTTGCCCTTACAACGTTCAATGCATTCTCATTTATATTACACCTTTATTACAGTAACAGGTAAGGTACCCGATGCAACAGACTGTTAATGTGCATTAATGTACCTCTGGCTCGTTATTTACCTGACACGTAGACAAGCATCGAGTTTTTTAAAATGTTGAAATCGTTTAATTATTTGGAGATATTACGAACCAAATTGACATGTTCGGTTCGTGAAAGACTCGAGCTCTGTCGCTGCCAAGTGATATCGGTTTCAAGAGTTTTAGATTAAAAATTTATGACAAGTTTTGTCATTTTTTCACGTTTTTGTAAATGTAAACAAAGGAGGTTGGGGCCCTAAGGCTTTTTCATTATTATATCAACAGAGATGTGTTTGGTGTTTGGTGAAAGTAGAATCAATTCCCTATAGAGCATGTGCTATACAGTATCGCCGTGCGAACTTGCTGTGAAACATAATCTCAATTTCCGTAGGACGAGATCACCATTTTTCATGAAATGGTATGATTTATTCCGTATTAATGTCAAAAAACATTAATACGGAACGATGTAAACGAGACCGTGTATACACAATCATCTCACAAAAATATCGTATGCTAATTATTAAATGTCCCTAGTAAAGAATTAAAAATGATTTCAACAAATCGTGGTTTTCTATCGTATTAGCGCAATTACATCATGTACAACTAAAGTGTGGTAATTTTAACAACTTTTCATATAATATAAGATTGCATCGGTGCTTATTATATTTTACTGAACAATGTATGTACGTGACAACTAACATTTCGTTTAACATAAATTCATAATCTTTGAACAAAAATTAAATTGAAAATCGTCACATAGCACATCTTATAACATTTAAACAACTCTCATAACTTTAAAAAACGTTCAAAGTTATGTATAGGCTTTATACGGGGCTATGTGTCCCGCCTAGGCGCTTCAAGATTCATAAACAGAATTATAAATTAAGGTAGGTGTTGGGAGTTGAAAGTTTTAAACCCCAAGAGAGTGGGTTCGAAACCCAACGGAATCTATTTTAAACCGTCCACAATACATTTTCTTGATCTCTTTTCATATGACACATTTGTGTTTGTGGCAATACGAGTCATTAGAGACAATAATATAAATTAATGATAATATGAAAAAGTTATTTTATATTTCTTAAATATCTGCACGGTGAATTTTTATAAATCTTTTTTTTATTAATTCTGATTTCCCACACAATTAAAGAGAATTTGAATTGTTTATTTTTTATTTAAAACATTTTCCCATTGAAGCCAATGTTGAATTAAAACATTTTTTCAAGAAACCTTACTAGTTTTCACACATTTTGTTATAAATCAGTATTATCTATCCTAAATTTTTTAAAGAACATTTGAATTGTTAAAAAACAATCGACAGTGCAGGTCTACCTGTAAGAAAATAAGCAATGTTTGTAAATAACTGCTTGATAATTATTTTTAAAAAGCTCTTCTTCACATATTTTGTTATACATTAGTATATGATCACCTAGATTTTTTTCAAGAACATCTAAATTGTAAAAAAGACGATGAACAGTGAAGTTCTAGAAGAAAAAAATTAGCAGTATTTACAATAAAAACGATAATAATATGTACACTACAGAACTGTTTGTCAATTTTCACATCAGGATTATTAATTCGCAATAGGAATATATGTTCATTCAGACCCCAGGAATTTTATGAGGATTGACTACTCGGGTGTATTAGATATAGCTTGTAGTTCAATCTCACAAATCTGATACACGGATGAGGTCGAAACCAATACCATTGCAGCATAAAGCGAGTCTTCTCCCTCATCTGTTGTGCAAGTCCATGTGAACTCTCCCGTTCCTGGGTACTCCGGTCCGTCACAGCGTAGCATCTTTGCAGTTGTTACATTGGCTGTCGTGTCACCCGTGCTAAACACGTCAAAATCATCTGCAGTTCCACCATTCGTAATTATCACCAATTTGAACTGAGTAAGTCCAATGGCATTTGTGTTAAACAAAAACCTCGACCCAGACACATACTGAACCTCAAAGGCGCAGACACTCATGTCCATATCTGTCAGTGTACGGATGAGTTGTCTCTTCTCAGACTGAAACGTTTCCTGAACAATTGGAGCTGACGAACTTGCAAGGTTTTGTCCTACAACATTTATACTCATTTAACATCTACTTTCATCGATATATTACTGACAGTCAACATAATGATGGAATACGAATTTCAGCTTGTGGTAGTTCAATATTAGCATAACATGAAAACAGTTTGAATATAATAAAAAAAACTTCAAATACAAATTATAGAAATTGCATTTTTTTGCATTAGAAAAGTACACGTGGCAAATGATATTCGATGCAAACATTGTTATCACTTTATATGAAAACACAGCACTCAAATACTATAATCATAAAGGATTGGAAATAAAAAGGATGTCATAGTCTTTAAGTAATAATTACCTGTGAAGATTTGAATTTCACTCATCCCTGTTGCTATTTCTGACGCCTCGACATTCACAATTTCCTCGATTGTGAACTTCACAGATTTTATCAAACGAGCGTTTGGTAAAGGAAGGGTTGTCCATCGAAAACTTCCACATTCAAATTCATCAAAATACATAAAAACTTGCGAACTGACCTACAAGTAAAATATCTGCATTACAACATGAGACAAAAATAAAATTTTGAAATCTTATTTGGAAGTGTAAAGTGACATTTTAATACCAATTGGCAGACAGTTCTCATTAGTATGTATTGGGGGGGGGGGGGGTAATTGTACGTTATTAAATAGAACGTGTATGTTAACGTGTAATATTGTGACACCAAGGATAATCATCGCCCTCAATTTTTTTCCAGTGATCAAATTAATCTTTTTTACCTTTATGATGATTTGAAGGAAAAACTTATTACCAGTGGAACCTTATTCTATACGTTCACAAACAAGTTATAAACTAGAGGTTAATCTACTTGATAAATTGCTAGTAAGTCGTATCAAATACATTGTAAGCACTAAAATTAAATATAAGTTTTAGTTTTGACATGCTTAATTTTGGCTTTTGTAGAATACTTGAAATGGTTCATACGCACTGTTACAACAAGTATATTGTCCCCTCTTACTTTACAAAAAATGGCAGGTAGCATGGTTCAAATCCATCAAAGTAAAAATTCTTGGTTTGATTTATGAAATAAATTTCCACTCATATTTGAAATGTCTCAAAACATTACTCTAAACACTTTGAGCTACCACCTTTGGTGTTTAAATGCATGGAATCTTACGGAAATTCCCCATTTCAAACTTGACGACGCATCGTACAGTTGGACAAGTACTTTCTTGTGCTGACTGTTCCTTGCACATCTGTTTGCGTATTTGATCACGTGTACCCAATATTCCGCATCTAACGCAATTGAAATCCATTGGCCTTCCCACGTGTTCCATTGAAAAGCAAAATTGGCAATGAGTGTCCCATCAATTGCGTTATGTGCAGCAAGATCCGAGTTGAATTGAGATGATGACGTTGCAGTTCCAATGAGAGCAGCCTGATTAGTCAATTGTCCAAAATCTGCAAATGATATAAACAACATGAACAATTTATCCATTTTAACTGCAATTTATGTGGCTGCACATATTTCCTTAGGCCAAACTATATTATTTACTCTTGTTACTCAAATGTTCATTAATTTAAGGTATAGTCAATTTTTGCACAATACGTCTAGTGACTGAAATTAGTTACCAGCAAGTATGTCCAGTTCCACTATTCCAAATGGTTCTGTTGATTCCACATACGCTTCAATGAATGTTATTTTTATCCAATTGGCAAGAAGAGGTGGATCAAATCTCACAGACTCCCAGCTATGTGTGTCAGTTGACTTTATATCGAACATATCCATCTAGTATAGACAATATTTAAACCAATACAGGTACTAAAATGTTGACATATGCATTCAAACACAAGACTGGTGATTGACCTTATGTGATCAATTATAATTACCTTGGTTGTTGAACCGTCGCTGAAATCCATTTTGACTTTTCGGGCTTGCGTCATGAGGCTCTCACGACTCTGGATCATACTGACTTCTTTAACCCAAAATTGTCTTGCCAAAGTGACATTGACCCAGGCGCCAACATTTTCAGGTTCTACAAAGGAAAATGATGGATATTAATCAGGCCAACTACCAAATACTACTGAGTGAGCTATAAGACGTTCATACATTATTTGGCGATGATATTTTCTCATTTTACTGACGATGAAAAAACACTTTTTCATTTTCATTTGTCTGAACTTGTGGTTGGGGAAGAAATGTTAACAAACACCAGAAGACTGAAGGCAACTTCATAATACTTAATAGGACAATATTTGAAGGAACATTTTTTAGTGTGGTATAAGCCTTGCCTAATGCCTAAAATAAAAGTTGCAGATTATCAGATTATTATTAGATTTCAGATTTTATATTCCGTGAGATGACACATTGTATGTGGTTCTCAGAATATTCTGAAATTATCTCCATATAAAAAGTGGAATGTGACAAGCGTCATAATATACTTAGTATACAGATTTAGTATAGAAAAATGGCAAGGAATTAAGGTAAGAATTTGAGGTAAAAGAGAATTACAAGGTGATAAAGCCAACAGTTTTGTTTCACAAACCATGAAAACTGTTTCTTTTGGGACTTAGTTTGTTATTGGCTAATATTCCTGACCATATTGGAATATTTGACGATTCTATTTAAATCTTTGACTATCGTTTCTTTTTCCTAGATGTTAAAACAGTTCAACCAATTTTCCCTATTAGTCTCATTCTACACAAATACACTTCTAAACATCACACGTTTAACGGAAATATACCAGTAAATCATAATAGTGTAGGCACTATAAACAATTTGTACAAAATTGTTACGTCAAATGGTTCCTTGTAACCGAAAATGAATTTACCCCTATTGTATTTTACAATTCAAATTCAAGTAGCACAGTATACATAATCTAAACAATTAAATGCCATACTTGATTTGATTCTTGTCTTTAGACAATTAGTAATTAATAAGAAAATAAAAAAAACTATACTTTAACGAAATTGTAAAATCAAATAAGTTGTTGAAAACATATAAAATTCAAGTAGCACAGTATACATAATCTAAACAATTAAATGCCATACTTGATTTGATTCTTGTCTTTAGACAATTAGTAATTAATAAGAAAATAAAAAAAACTAAAAACAAGCAGTACATTTACATGGACTCTAATTTTGATTGTGCAAACTGCATACGTTTATATTATTTTTATTACGCCACCCATTCCCCTCCACCTCCCTCAGTTTTTTGGCCCAACTTGCATAACATGTACAATATGTTTTCTTTGCAAAGTGCTAATAAATTAACCGCAACAAACATATATATTTTGTTACCATTTGTTATGCAACAAGCAAGTAACTTACAGCTAAATGAGCATATGAATCATAAATTCTATTATTACCTAGTGGGCAGCCAATAACATCAAATCTCAGACTGGTGTAAGCGTAGTAGGTTTGAGGGTTGAGTCGGACGAATCTTGCTTCTACAGGTGGATGCAGCATATTTTGAACCTTCGTATCTCTATCACTGTTACCTTGTAGAATCTAGAATAACACAGCGGTATAAGGCTGTAATCATGGTAAAATGATTTCAAATATATTTATTGATTTTTTCTTGTTCTTTAGTAGAATTGAATAGTGCTAAGGAACGTTCATCATATACAGAATGGGCCAAAAAACGTCAATATTTTTATTTCTACTTTTTATTTGAGAATGCATAGATTTCAATACAATTTTGGATGGATATACAGGAATTAATTGTACAGTTGTTCCTGCAGAAGGGTAAATAAATCTCCATGGGTAGTTGAGTAATAAGGTAAACAGACAGTAGGGGTCTATTTGAAAATTTACTGATATCAGAATGTTATTCAAAGCAACACTTTTGTACTGGCATTAGTCATGTCTCAAATTAAAGTACCAGATTGTCATTGTGTCAGTAAAATACATAAGGTTCAGTATCATCTGAAATAATTTCCAGAAAATGGAATTATATTAGAAGTATCTGAAGATAAATAAGTAAGATGAAGAAAATCTGATTCAGCATCAAGAGAAAACAGCACTCTTGAAAATTATTACTTGGATTTCCTTATATTGAGAAATTGTACTACTCATTTTAAGTCAAAAATTACTTAAATAATCTTGAACTACTGAATAATTTTTAAGTAATTTTTAAATAATTCATTTATGGTGAATTTACTAATGCAAGGAGAGAAATTGAAATACTTACTGTAGTAATTGTAATACTCATTTACATAATTAAGCAATTAAAAAACTCAAAATGACAATATAAGTTAAACCTAAGTAAAATGAAGTAAAACTGAGTATTTAACTTTAAGTAATTTTTATACTTGAGAAATACTTGGGAAATACTCAAGTAATTCATTTTTAAGAGTGAGTATTCTGAGATCTCATTTGAGGCAAAAAGATTTGTATGGTGCTTGATTGAGCCCACACATTAAGGAACCTGGTTCTTCATTGTCCCTTAAGACTCTGGTTAAAGGTAGAATCCGATCTATAGGGGTGAATGAATCACAAGCAACATGTACAATTGACATAATATTAATCTATTCTTAACAATCTCAAATACAAATAATAACTTCACCAATATAAATTGGTGAAGTTATTATGCATTCGAAGTTCAAAAACGGGTGGAAATGTTTAATTCTCCCTAATAATATAAGAATGGTAGCCATTCTTAGAGAAAAATAATATATTATGGTAAAAATCTTTAGTTTTCCTGAAATAAAGTAAAAACGAGGAATGACATGAGCCAGAAATATTCTAAAATTCTAAAATTGTTGTTGGCCTGCTCGCTCGATACTAAATATTAAATTCAAGTGAATAAGATATTATTTTCATCCAGCTTTTCGGCGTTTTTTATGTCAATCTGCTCTTTCTTAATAGTCTCAGTACACCCCCGGTGCTTTTATTTCTATCAGACGAAATAGAAATTACAATAGTGTTAACATCATACATAACATATTTCTCTGGCTAAATGTATAAAAAGTGAATCTGGAAATGCATATGAGGCATGAACAGTATTATTGTAAAGATTGTTGTTTTGGATTTCAACCTGAAATATATCAATGATTTATTTATCTACCTTTTCAAACATTTTTAAAATTGATATCTGCACTTCCTGACGAAATTCTATGGAAATTCATGCATTTTCAAAAGGCAATCTGGGTATTATAAAAAATGTCAATGATTTAAATTGTAATACTTCATTTATTATTGGCATCGTTAGTCTCAAACTTTCTGAGATGATTAATTAAAGAATCTATGCAACTTCGACGGTTACCGTGGAAATAAAAATAATTAATATTGATTACTAATCTGTACGAAAACTGTAAAGCGACTGTAGTTTGCAAATTTTAATGAACTACGATCGACGTACGGTCGCCGTAGAGCAAATGTAACTGAGCTTTTAGGTTAGGTTTACCACATTAAACACTGTGGAACCTTTATATTCTATAGTTTGGTACGGCTTATTAATTTCTACGGTGAGTTAAAATCCCTCAAAAATAAAATAAACATAGATTGACCACAGATTTCCTGAACGTATAGTCCAAAACAACATAAAAGTCGACCAAATCACTCATTTGACCCTAGAAGCCCTAAGGTAAAAAAAATGTCACACGAACACCTTAGGGGGGGGGTTCAAAAGGGCACCCCCTTATAAAATTCTTATAAGTAAAGCCAGGATGTTCAAACCTTCTCCAAATATACATCATTCAATTCTCTGGATTTTGGTGTAATAACTTTAACAACCATGAAAATGTAAGATTGCGTAATTTTATTCTACAGTGTGGTAGAATTAGTGCTAGCTGATTTCCGATTTTGTCTATTGGAGCTGATGATTACATCATAATAAATCAATTACCCTATGTACAATTTTGTTGATTTTTTCAGAAAACATTTGTTATATCTGTAGCTCCAGCAACTGAAAATCATACCAGATGCCAATTTTGACCCCCTCCCCCTAGGGCTTCTAGGGTTAAGATTGTGTACCTACCATTCCATATTCCCGTAGGCTATCCACATCTTTCCCAAAGAAAAACTTGTACGATGTAACCCACTGGTTTACCGCATTTCTACCTTGAGTTATGATACCCCTCACAAACATAACTTGACCAAGGTCTGCCTGTATCCATTGTGCGTTATTGTTCATATAAGCAGACCAGGATCCCATCAACTGCGGACTTGTAAATCTAAAGCCAGAGATAAGGCAATTTTGTCAAAAGCAATGAGATATAATTTCAAAATCACCATATTGGTATTGGTCACATTGAAACTGGGATTATGTCAACTCGTATTACTGAAGGATATCAGAGATAGAAATTTAGATATGTGAACATATCACCTGTAAACCCTCATTTGTAGCTATGAATAACATGGTGGATATATCATAGCCAAAGCCATTTGGTCTATATCGGTTGAGTCCAATATTATGGCGGCCTAAATACAATATTCAAAACATAAAAATATAAGGCACATTTTATCATCAATTTTTCCCATCAAACAAGTCTTTATCAGACTTATTTATTTCTATACTACTTATTTATATAGAGAAAGGATGCAGGTTTATTGACATTGATGAAATACAACAATCTGTGCAACTGCATCTTGCCACCATGTCAGAGAATGGATTCAGCCTTGTCTCACAATCTTGAGTTAGATGATGAGGAATTGTGTACATGTAGCACTTGATGGAACATATGTAGAGGGCCATGTGGAATGAATGTGGCATGAATACCACATAGTGATGATAAAATATTCAAAATCAACTATGGCATAACAAAATGGGGTAATTCATGACCATAATGGTGGTTTGTTTTGTTCAGCCTGCATTCAACTGCATTGCATGGTAAGCAAGCTAAGATAGCTTCAGAATGTTTGGTCTATAAAAATCATCTGTGTAAAAAAACGTCCATTACTTATTGATCACCCCTCGTACATGTACTAAATTGGCGATGATAAAGTCCCATGAAACGAGGACCAAGTGATTGAAGAGTTGAAGTGACAGTTATGTCCGCCATTTGTGCTATTCCGGTGTGACTTATATCATGTTTTTATAAAATTAACGAAATATAATGAATGATGAATGTGAGCCAAATAGGATTAAATCACTTTGAACTGTATATTTTCTTGTTGTAATTTTATTCAAAAATGCTAAAAAATATCGGTAGGGCAGTAACATTGCCTGCCTCAGCCTTATACATGTAGCTTATATATACTGTAACTCAACATACTTGGTAGATATTCATGCGGATCTCATACTTAAATGGGTTTGGGGTAGATATCACTCGGGAATATATATCACTGATCTGAGGAGAGGGCAGGATATATTGTATATGTCCCGCTCCTGGCCAAATGCGAGCAGATATAATATATCCATCCCGCTCCCGGGAATTTTTCAAAAGTTTAAAAAAGTTTTAAAAAAGTATGATATACACCAGTTATGCACGGTCGGTTTGGATACATGGAATATCCCTCGGTATATTCCCTGCATCCAAAACATCCCAGTGCATAACCCCTATATATTTGGAAATATTGTTTTCCGGAAAAAAAAGTTACGACTGGCAGGGGAGAAGAGAAAACAAGACAGAAATGATTCATCAATACAACAAGAGCATGGGAGGAGTGGACCTAGCCGACCAGATGACAACTATATATGGCCCCAAAATAATAGGTGTTAAACTACGTAAAAAATATTTAAAAGGCAACCATAATTCTACCTTTGATAAAATCATCCACTAATAGCTAAGAATACATTATTAAAATAAAAATTAAGTTACTGATTTGTTGTTTTTCAGGCAATAGCTACATTATCTACAAACACAATACAGACCCATAACTGTCAAGTAAAAAATGAAAATCGGGATATTTTCGTTTTAAAAATCGGGAGAAGTCGGGATTTTTTTTTAAATCGGGAGAAAATCTGTATTTCTATAAAAAAAATCTGGAAAAATCGGGATTGTTTAGGATAATCTTGACAAATTGGGAGTTTACAATGAAAATCGGGAGGAAATCGGGGTTTACAAAAAATCGGGACAAAATCAGGATTGATTAGGATAATCGAGAGAAATCGGAAGTTTACAATAAAAATCGGGAGGAAATCGGGGTTAACAATAATCGGGAGAAAATCGGGATTGATTAGGATAATCAACTCTTATTTTCAGGTTTGAATAATTGAAGTGCAAAATATGTCAAAAAGCTGTCTGATTCAAAATTAATGTGGCACTGAGATATCTGTTTTGAAATTTATTGTGGCAATAAGAGAGTTAAAAGTCAATTGTATCCCAATGTTAAGTCAATATTCAACCTTTCTGAAATCCTCATAATATGAACCTGACATTGTAATAACCTGGACATAGTATAACATTTTACAAACCCTGCATGTAGTGTATCAAGCCTTGAACGCTGTGCCCCATGCCCAACGAAATCATTTGCATAAACGCCGGATGCAGTCAGGGCTGAATCTGGGACGTTGAACACATCACCGGATACTAGTCGTTCATCACAAATTGCTAAATTGAAATTAAACAAAGTTAAATCACAAACATAGAAATAAGAACATAAGTTTATAAAATACTGAACAAAATTAACAAAAATGGGGCATACGTGAACGAGATTGGGATTTCCATGTGTGTCCTAAGTTTTCGTTGGTAATCTCTCCATCTATCGCATTATTGCAACTGGTTGTACTTGTGCTTGATGAGCATTCGATAGTAGCTCCTGATGAAAGCTTTGCAACATCCGCACTGACCCGATATTCTGTAACAGAAGACACTGGTTGAACGTTGGGTATAATAGACACGTTAAACAACAAAATGAAACAACATATATATTTTAATTATTCATATCAACGACATCTTATGTGTGTTATTTTGATGTCAACACAACTGGTTACCAGGACCATGCGACATATGCCTAAAATATTGCTTATTGATTCCTAAATACAGCTTTAGCAATGATTTTTAGAAAAAAATCAAAGTTTGCTCATACAAACTCAGACAACAAGACAAGTAATGTATCTTATGCTTCGATAATTTCCAACTTGTTTATAAAGTATGTTTGCATCCAGCTGCCAAAATGGGATCGTTTGATATTTCATAATCATAAAACAGAATATGTTTCATTATTTTCCTTTTGTTCTTACGTTTCAAAATACTGAAATCCACCTCAAAATACAAAACAGAGAGATTAATGACCTTCCATCCTGAATCCAGTGTCGTATACGTTGTTCCTATTAGCCCCTCCACATGTTTGCGTGTTACCCTCAGCCTCGCACGTCATGCCACATTCCGATTCGTCCACCATTCCATGTTTACCGTAGGAATTTCCGCAAAAGCAAGTATATGCATACTGGTTTCCTTAAAATGAACTAGTTCATAAACGTCACGATCCATTGCAATGTATCCCTATAGCAGTTTTAATAACATGTACACTTACACGATTCATTGCAATGTATCCCTATAGCAGTTTTCATAATAGTACCCCGAACAGGTTGAATAATGCAGTGTTGTGTTTTTACTCTATATTTGCAATGGAAAAACCATTCTTATTGACGTTTTCAAGATTTATTCTACAGACAATTTCCAAGATACAAAAGAAATATTTAAAATTTCCTCATAAAAAACGTGTTGCTCTGGGTCTCGTTTTGTGAAGCATTACGTTGAAAGAGGAGGTCAATCTTCTTATCAACGGACACGAGTTCAACCTGGTCGAACTGTTCAACACGTCCAAAATGAAGTTAAACATTACGAATCTCCAACTTCAAGTATTCCCGGCATTAGATCCTCCAGAGATGTTAATATAGCTGTGTCAAATCCTATCATGAAATTGTCAGGGAAACCTGACATATTAAAAGCATGGTACAATTTACGTGCCATAGGGGTGCATGCTGAGAGACGGTGGCGGAAAAGCACAGTGGCGAAAAAGGTGCGTTATCAGGGGAAGGGTGACCCAGAGTGACAATTTTTTTATTGGCATAATGCACTATAATAACATTATTTAATATGACAAAAATGAATAACAATAATTAGCCATAATTAATATGGCATCAAATTCATTTGAAAAGACTTTAGGCGACCAAAGACTTTAACAGTTTTAATAATATGTACATTAACACAATTCATTGTGCGTATCCTTAGAGCAGTTCTAATAATAGGTAGGCTAATCTAACGTGAACTTATTTAAATCGTAGTATTTAATCATAAGTTTGAAATCATAGCTGGATTTGTTGAATAAATTGTCAATTTACAATCTAATACTTTCAAAAACATATCTCATGGATGTTTTGGATTTTGCGGTCCAGTTTATTAACTAGCGCTGCATATAATGTCGCCATATCTAGACAACTACATGACTAAAAATACCATGACTATTGATACGCTTACAATTACCTGAGTATTGAAATCCATGCGCCTTGCAAGTTGTGATACAATCCCATCGACTTCTCCGTACAAGTTCCGTTCGTCCGTTCAAGTCTCTATCTGCAGCATCGGCAAAGCATCCTAGGTACTCTAAAATGTAAAATTGATGTAATAAGCCCTACTCGAGATTTGTTTATTAGTATCAATTTTCTACGTTGTATTAATTGTGTTGATTTTAGTGTATATACTGATAGGTGAAACAACTAAATTGTGAGCGAAGTGGATGGAATATAAATGAAAAAGAAACTCAGACAGGTGATCTGATTTCAACCCTTGAAGTTGAGACTAAGCCATCTTATATAATATCAAAAAATGATTGTAACCCTGAGCACTATTATATATTTCTTTATTGTGAATAATTCTGAAAATAATATCCTGACAACATAAAGCTTGATTAAGGACTTCTTGCCATATCGGTTTTAAGGTATTTAAAAAACTTGCAAAAATGTCATCTAAATGTTTATAAAAAATGTAATCGTAAGGAATATTACGAAATGCCTTACCATGATCGTTGTAAATGCGACTGTAAACCAACGTATTTGCGCATAAAGCTACCGTCGCAGCAACTCCAAACCACGACATATTTCGCAGATGGCCACAGCAAAACTCTCAACTGAATGTGAATGATGTTGATGACCTGTCAACCACTGAATTTACCCAGTGTCTCAAAATTTCTATTCAGTTACATTGATGAAGTTTAAATGTTTGTTAAGGGTCATTAAATGCACTTTGCTTTTGTATGAGAATTAAACCGATTCACGTTCTAGTTTCAAGGAGATACAAAGGACACGTTAAAGTAATGATCACCACGTCCTCTCAAATAATACCTAAGCCATTCTTGAACCAAATACAATTTTCAGCTAACAGATACCGGGTTGATGACAATTTGATCGGAAACTCATATAAATATAAAAAGTACCTTCCGTTTAAAAAAATTCCGAAATTTATGAAATGTTGGGCCCCTAAAACCATAAGGTGGGTCCAACTTTTGAAACGTAAAGCTCGTTTTCTCAATAATTTTGCCTACAATTTAAAATAAGGCCTTAAAGACCCAGTTATACCCTAGAGGCCTACTTATTGGGGCACTAAAAATAGTTCATGTAATATGAGGAGATCAATAAATGAAAAGATGTGAAAACAACATGGACTTTGCAGTTGAAAGAAATCACTATAATCATCTAATAAGAATAACTGTCATGCAAAATCACTCTAAAATAAAGGTTTTTATATTTTATTGTGCACCCATTTTAAACTTAATATAGTTGGAATGCATTGCACAGGAAACACACTAGAACATGCATCCTAGTCCTTTCATCAATATGCACCAAGATACTGGTTTTTCTTAATTTTGTATTATAATACAGTACAGTTTTTAGTGTTTGTAGTTTAGATATGTAGGTAATCAGTTTTTATGTTTGAGCAAGTCATAATTTACTAATTCATTCCCCAAAACAATTACTATGATATATCATAGACAATATTAATGTGTGTTAATTTGTGTCACCCTGTAGAGTAGTGTACGGGCGCTTATTGAACCCTTGACGAATATAGAAATGACGATAACAATCAAGATTGTTATTAGAATTGGAATGAAAAGAATGCATAAATTATTGACTTCGTCAAATTATTGTTGTCAATATTATATATTATTTATGTTATATAGAGACACAGTGCATCTGGAAATAGTGAAATCAATATTTTACGGATTTGAGATAAAATGGTGTTAGAGCTTTATCCATTTTTTATTATAAAGTGAACGATTTTCCAACGAGATACCAATTTGTCAAATTTCGATGTGTTCCCGTACCAACTGATATAACGCCCAAAAACTATACCAAATGTTCAAATATAAGACCAATGCCATACCAAATGTTTGGGGGATTCAATGGTACACTACAGCAACATCTTTGGATAGAATACTCTAACTTGCAGACATATAGTGGCGTACCGAGATCCACTAAAAGTTTTTTCTCAGCCAATACTCAACCAATGTCCAACGTGTTTAAACTATATCATAGCTAGGGAAATGGTCTAGAATGCACATTTTGCAAAATTATTATTCATTCAATAGTTTAGGTTTTGGTATGTTTTTCTCCCCCCCCCCCCCCAAATATTTCATTTTTCATATTTTCGACACAATTACCAATCTCTAGATCTAGGAAAGGTAATTACCCATGTTTTTTGTCCCGAAAGGTAGATCCAATATACCTCTATCTCATTTATTACCCTTTTCGGGGTTTCAAAACATGATATGTTGCTTTGTTATTTAAAAGAGGTATACAAAAATCACCCGCGAGAGATTTGAATGACCCAATAATATTCTGCCTTAGTTTTTACTATATCTTTTCAACTTTGGAAACGCCAAGTCATCTGACACCCCCCCCCCCCCCCACCGACCATTAGTGTTATGAAGAATAAGTTGTACTTATTCGGGTCAAGTATAAATTCGATTCATGACAAATATCTTTATTGTTCTGTATCATACTTACAATGACATTGGCAATACATGCAATACAGATCAATACAGATTGACAATAAATATTGAACATGCAGTTAAACAAAGTAATATATTGATAGCAGGCATAAAAACATATTGCAAAGTTAATTTAGACTAATATAATATTCTTGTTTATCCATTTTAATTCAGTATTATTCGGTGGATAAATTTTAAAGATAAGTAACCCTTTTCACATGTTTGGCTTTATCGAGCACTTGGTCAAAATTTAAACACATAGTGTCAGTGAAAAATATACCATTAATCGAAAATATTGTAGGAATAATTATGGTCTTAAAAAACATATCATTAAATCATATTAACAAGTGCACATTGATATCCCTGACTAGATATAATTGTTTTAAAAACTATATGGAATTGTCCGTTTATCCCATGTGAAATTATTTCAAAGTGAACATTCCAAATAAGACGTATGTAGACCACATACCCCTTGCAAGATGTCAAACTGATATGAAAAATTAAATATCACTCAGATGATCATATGCAAGGGAATGGCGGTTTGGATTAAGCTAACCGTGACTGTTTTTGACTGTTTCGCTGGCCTGATGTGCACATAATTAACAACTATCAAAATGCATCTAGCTTGTATGATAGTTGTTCCTCCAAACCTGTTTGCTCTTTATAGATTATTTGGATAACTCATCCGATGACATAGGTAATGCAAGGAATTTTAATACTGGAAGCAAAAGGCCATATGCAAAACTTAATTTGAGTCAAAACAACCACAGGCTAGTATCGAAAGATTTGTCCGCTGTGACGGAGGATGTTATTTTTCAATAAAAACACTAAAAAACACATAATTTATTTTAACTCATACGTTTCTTTATACCAAAGGAAATTACTTACTCCATGCAATGGATATATCATTTGTGGGTAACTTTCACTTCAGTTTGAATTCAAATAACGCTGGGAGGAAAAGCTATTCTTAGTGTTTTTATGAAAAATAACATGCTCCGTCACAGCGGACAAATCTTTCGATACCAGCCTGTGACAATACTAAATTATAACATTTGACTAGATTTGCTTTAAAAACGCATGGAGATTATTTTGCAGAGGTAGTTGCCATGCCTGTCTCATCGGCTGGCCCCATTTATGTCACGATTATCAAGATCCATTATGTTAATCTAAAGCAATCTTTTTGAAAGTTTGGACTTTTGTTGACTCGTGTATTTATTATGTAAAAAGTTCCTGCTTTATCCAAAGGAAAACTCAGATTAATTGGTTCAGTTTTAAAATATGGACTGATCTTTCTGCATTAAGTATACAGGAGAATTTACAGTTTACAGTTTTGCATTTTGATCTTGATCAACTTAACAATTGCGCGACTAAAGTGTATCTGACTCCTTAAGATATCACTAATGTTATGAAAGATATATATTGTAAATTATAAAGTATACAAGGTCACTAGACTGTATATGTGTTTTCATTATTTCCTAATTCCTTTCAGTTCATAACCTTTCCTTGGGAATATTGATTGGCCAATTTTTCGGCGAATTTTATGTCAACACGGGCGTTGCGTTAAGCATCCAATGGTCATAAAGTAGATATCGGACCCGACGCCAAACTATCCGTTAAGCATCCAATGGTCATAAAGTAGATATCGGACCCGACGCCAAACTATCCGTTAAGCATCCAATGGTCATAAAGTATATCGGACCCGACGCCAAACTATCCGTTAAGCATCCAATGGTCATAAAGTATATATCGGACCCGACGCCAAACTATCCGTTAAAGTCCCCATCTAAAGTTTATACCACTTTGGGCTTATATTGTAGTCTTACCCAATGTAATCAAAGTTTCATATGTGAAACTTTTTTTTTTAATTCCAAAAAGTGGTTTTTGATAGACTTTTTGTTCCAAAATTTGTGAATTTAATTAAAACTAACTTTTAGAGGTCACACATATATTTTAATTAGCCACAATTCATACCAATGCATAGCATTCATCCTCCCATGTTTTTTGCCGAAAAAATTAAGAAAATCGGTTCATAAATAAGTGAGAAATGAACTCATCAGTGCATGAAAATGGTTCCGAGAAAAATCCATTTCAAAATTTTAGTTCTCATAGAAACCAATGGTACAATGATATCTAAAACATAATATATTCTTTCTTTTAACCTGGTTAGACAATTAGCATTGGTTTATTATTTAAGTCTAGCATATTTAGAAAAGATTGACATCGAAAAAAAAATTTCAATTTTTTTCAAAATGTTTTTGATACCTTAGTGACATCACTAATGTTGCAAAATATTTTTGATATGCTAAAACATTGAAGTGGCGCATTAAATATCGCATTTTATTATTGAAATAGAGTGTCCTTTATTCAATCTTTGCATTGGCGTTAAAAAGATAATCTTTTTTGAAATGCATTAAGAAATATTTGATGATTAAAAAATTTCAACTTTTTTTAAAAAATGGCGGGAAATTTGAAAATTTGAGAAATGAAATGCTCACAACTTTTTTTTCAAAATTCTTTTTTTTCCAAAAATCTCTAAAATAATTTTTTAAGTCATGACAAATAGTAAATGAATGATAAAAAAATATTTTCAAACTTCAGACGGGGACTTTAAGCATCCAATGGTCATAAAGTATATATCGGACCCGACGCCAAACTATCCGGCACCACTTAAAAAAACTGGTAAGGAAAAATGTTTCATAAGCTGCTCGATTTCACAAACTGAACACTTGAGCTACAGTGCAGTCATTCGAGATTTAAAAGGATACAAGGTAGGTCGTTACAGTTGATTTTTAAGTCTTCTTTATTCTAACAGTTGTAAAGTGATTGGGGTCTTTGAGAGAGAGCGAAAAATTGGAAGAGTAACAAATAATTGAAAGAATCATTCAAACCAGAATCAGTTTTTTATAAGCAACTTTCATATACTTTACTATATTGGAGATCGTAGGAATTGGTTAAATTAGAAAAAAATGTATCGAAAACAATGACATGATTTATTAAGGGAATTGATAAGAGAAGACGTTTTAAATTCTAGTCCTAAGTTAACCAAATAAATATGTATATATTTATAATCTAAATAACTCGCTTCATTAAAAGAATTTGGTGGAAACCTTATTTTCTGAAAACGCAAAAGCTTTGAACACATTCATGTCCTCTTTGGACTTTTTCAATTTAAAAGGTAAAATTCTGCAGGAGGTTAGAATCTAGTCATATTGAAAAACGAAAATATTACATTACTTAAAAATAAGCTGAAATACTATACAAGGTGACCCCAAATCGAAACCCTCTAATTCCAGAATATGCAAAACTTATATTAATGATGGAAACTTCGCGGACTTTTTTCTGAAGAATAGATCGTAATGTATATTTGTAATTGTATGTCGGTCATGTATAGAACGACTTATGGATTTTGTAAGTACAAATGACGCATGGCCTGAGATATTCTGGAACCCACATGCATTATGTGCCACCAAATACTTCCTACTAGTTAAACCAGTTCTTTAAGTCGTTATATATAAATGTAGTAATCAGCGTTTACACTGAACGAACCAATGGTGTGATTTACCCGGTATTTAATGCATGCTCCTTTCAGATGCAGTCAGGTTCCATACTTTACGTTGGGTTAGCAGTAGTGCTCCTTTGCAGCGCACTTACCGAGGCAAGATATGCAGGAGAAAGATCCGCTTTAACAGATTTACTATTGGCAAGACTCCTGGCCAGGTGAGGTTTTAAGTAAAGCATGGAACTGACTTGATTGCCAATTTGTTTTATTTAGTGTATCATTGACAATTATACATTTTTGTGATAGTGGTATGTGCATGTTGCATAGGGTACGTATATATTACAAAGGACACATGCATGTTCCACAGGGTACATATATGTTTCAAAGGGTATATACACAAGATAGCAACGTTATCAAATGAACGATTGTTGAATAAAATGTTCAGGACTACAGTCAAAAATCCAAATAATTTTCATTCCAGTGAGAAGAGAGAACTCCCGTCCCCGCCGACAGAAGCCGAGGATTCAACTTTGTTTGACGTGTAAGTCTTAAATGAAGGGCCGTGTAACCTAAATTTTTTGAAAAAATGAGTGCCACCATCTTCAATTTTTGACACAAATGAGGCCTATTGTTTTGCCACTTTTAAAGATTACCCCCTTTTTTGGTGAGGAACTCAGCAGTACTAAATTCCTATATACCTCATTGTGGTATTCACTATGCTATTATCACGTGATTTGAAAGTCATCAGCGTGATATTTGCTAACACGTCGGAATTTGGCAGCACGTCGAGTCATTGGCATGGTATAGCACGCACTGACTTCCAAATTGCAAACAAGATGATAATTTGAATACCGCTGTCAAATCCCAATTAAACACACATGTTTAAACCCAGCATCGCTTTATAATATATTTTACATGATGTAGTTTTTACATTCATCTTGCTATTTTAATGCATGCTAGATTTAAGTAGAGTATAAGTCAATTGTTTAAGATGTAATAAAATGGCAAAAAGTCTCTTCTTACCTTCTTCTAACAATACAGAGTCATTTCAACTGCGATTGAAGCTAATAAAATGCCCCACAAAAACATGGTCTAGCACGAAAGGAAAGCGTTATTGATTATTTTACGCACTGCTTGTTATGCGGTAAACAAGATTCAAATGTATGTCATATTCCGCGACGAAGATGGCATATTCACTTGCGGTGTATGACATATTCACTTGCGGTATATGGTATACTCACTAGCCAATGAGAACGTGATACTGAAGTACGCAAGTACTTACTATTTTTCATGACTTAAAAAGCAATTTTTAGAGGTTTTTTATCAACATTTTTTTCAAACATTTTTTTGAAAAGTTGTCAGCTTTTTATTTCTCAAACATTCAAATCCACTGCCATTTTTAAATAAAAGTTGATATTTTTAATCATCAGATGTTTCACTGTACAGTGCAAAACACAATATTTCAAAAGTAAAATGTAATTTCTAATGTGCCAGAGTCCGTTGGTGTATGGTGTTTCTACCCATGAGGACCATAAGACCCGTGATAGCTATGTATTGATTGAATTGTAGTTTATTAAAAGGTACGCGTGACTTCTAAAATATAGTTTTATATAGTTTTTTAAATAAATTCACGATTTTCCGAGCAAAAGTTTCACAGTCCACATATTGAGAACATTGGCTACGACTATGATATAAGCCAAAGTGGTTTAAGCCAAGAGTTCCTAAGGGGGGTCATCGGTTTTGCCTGATTTTTCGTGTAGCTGTTCCTAGGGATTTAGGGATAATTTAATGCAAAAATCATATATGGGGTTTACTAATTACCTTTTTATAAATAGCAAAGTCAAGTACATTTCTATAACTTTTACTATGTTGAGCTAATACATTAAGTACAGTATACAGTGCTGTAAATAATTAAACATTTATTATTTTTAATTATAATTCATTAATTAATCGATGATTTCTATTATGTGATATAGTATTTTACTATATTCCCATTAACATGTTAGATTTAATGTTCTAATTGTCAAAATACACAAAAACGTGGTTATTGTAAGAAACGTGATTTCTCGATATTTTGTTATACCATGGGCTTTCATCTAGTTGAAAGCCCATGGTTATACCCCTTCGGTAATTAAGCAATGATTATCTCCTATTACAAAGGAGGTAAATTATCAAATTATACATCACTAATCAAAATTAAAATTGTATATGAAGATCAATGACTAATCATTCGTTATGTTAAACGAATTAATATATAATGTATGTACCTTTTTAACAGATTGATTGACACCATCGAGTTGGTATCAACATAAATTCAGCACAAAATTGCTTTTCGGATAATAAGAGATACGGAGAGATCTGGCAGAGTTCAAAATGTTTTATTTTGTATTTTCAGACTATCTGACATGCTTAAAAAGAGCTCTGACGATTGTACCAATTGGTGTGAAGAATTATTGTCAGATGAAGATAATGGATACGGTGGAGACTTTAAAAAGTGTTATAAAGATCAATGTGAAAAATAAATCAGCCAATAGAAACCTGGACATGAAAGAGTATAGTCAACTATTACTATTTGCAATTAGAAGAATGAGATAGCGTCCCTTTATTTTGAAGTGATGAAAAATGTTGATTGTTGAAATAAATCACTGTTTTAAAAATGAAATAAAATACTATTTTATTGTTTAACCCTCATATGTTTCAAACATTAACGAGGGGGATCGGGTCAAAATTAGGTCAAACGCAGGTCAACGAAACATAGGGAGATCGATTTTTCAATTATTCTATTTAAAACAACAACATATATATTGAAATAATGTATATAATATGTAACATACGCTTCCCCATACATTCTTCCACTCCCCCCCCCCCCTTTACCCGCATTAGGGTTAAATCTATCTTATGATAACAACTGGCGATGCATTAATTTTGCATAAGTATATTTTATATATACGTCCGAATGACAATTTATCACATGTAACTAGGGTATGAGGACTTAAGCTAGCCGTACACCAATGGGACAATGTCCGACTTTGTCCCTTTGCCCGTTTTGTCCCAACTTGTCCGCTCTTGTCCCCCGGACATTATTGGACATCATGGGAGAATGTCACATAGTCCCATTTTGACCGATGATTAAAGAACACTGAAATATATATGAGGGGATTTGTGGCGTTTTTTGGCCCTCATCTGACTTCTCACTGGTCCTCACGTGGTCACTGAATCATGACGTTATATATCAAAAAATGATTCCTTTTTGTTTCCACAACAATCGCAAGGTTGTTACAGAGTCACGAGTACCAAGAAATCAATGAAGCAGAACTACAAATAAAGTATGATAGATGCACTTAGCACAATGTAACTGATCCATTAAAGTAACACATTTACGATTCTAGGCCGAATTTCGACAATTTAAGCGAAATGAGTCAAGAAAATAGTCTTACCTTTCTATTAGGATGGGTTCAGGTGCCAAAAATAACTGATCCATGGATGTATATCATTTTGAAATTTGGATGCAAGAAATATTTTTTCGGAGCCATGTTTTTTTTACGACTCATAACAGGAAATAGATTATCTAAATGAAAACTGAATTTACATCATCAATCCTGGTTTTGACTTAAAAATTTACCGAAATAGATATTTAAATATTATTAAAATGATTATTGACTATTTTTTTTATTAATCTTGTGATTCGACGGTCTTCTAAAATTCATAACATAGCTTTAGAATTACGGAGTTATTTCATCATGCTAGCAGGAGGAGTGAGTAGCTCCCATAATTCTTTCATATTCTATCGTATTCGAGGATTCCCCATTACATCATCTCTTGCATCATCTCCAATCAAATTGCAGGATTCGATCACGTGAACAAACCTTAGCACGTGCTCTCTCAGTGGGTCGCATGCGCAAAGTTAAATTTGAAATCGTGGGAATGGCGTCAACATCAGTTCAACATGATCATTTCAAACCTACGGTAATACTATTGAAGTTACTCGATCCATACTTGTAGAGAATACTCATAAAACTACAGTGAACATTTGGAGATCCATTTTAACGGCAAATTGAGGCCTGTTTATAAAATTTGTTTTCAAACGTGCTAATATGATAGGGCATCTTTGGGAAATCTCCCCCCCCCCCTGATGCTAGTGTGGCCTAATAATGGAGTAAGGCGCTAGGCCAAGGTTTTGATAGATGGAATCCAGCTGTCGGTGGTACGATTCCCGGTCAAGACTGAGTTTTGTTTTCTTTTTTATTTATCTCTCAGACACAATTTTTTTTAAAGATCTCTTTTCATACAACATATAGTCATATCTATTACTTTTGAGGTTTTAGATTTTAGATACATCGTAAATAAGTTACTTTAATGTTATTATTTTATAATGATTATCGCGAGAATACTACGTTGGACTTACAACGCATAAACCGCATTTTTGTAGGTGGAAGATGAGAATACCTATTTTACTCGTAGTTATTCTTTGTCGTAGCCTCGAAGGTACGATTTTTATTTTTGCTATTTCACGTGTTGTAAGCAGAGAAACTCCGGAACATTATGTTGACGGGCCCGGGTTAAAAAGGGTAGACCTTGACCGTTTTTGAAGTTTCGTTTACGTAACGAAACTGATGTGTTATCAGGGGCGGATCCAGGATTTTGTGTTAGAGGGGGGGGGGCGTGTGATGATAACTGTGAGCGAATTAAAAAAAGATTCAAATTTTGTAAAAAGCAATGAGGCAAAACACGAATTTTCCGACTTTATAGGGGGGGGTGTGCGCCCCCCACGCCCCCGTCTAGATCTGCTGGTGGTTATATCGATGATCAAAATGTAAATGACCTTTTCTTGGTTTGGTATTTACTGGTCGGTTTCAAGCGATGGTTACAGCCGTCACCTTTGCATGTAAGATGGCGGACGGGGAGTGTCGATTTCGATATTTTCAGTTTTCATACTGGTCATCATACTTTATAAGTAGTTACAGAAACGAGAGTTCTGACGCACCTTTAACATTGAGTCCTATGGGGAGGGACACGATTTTTCATAGTACCCTCCCTAACATGGGCTCCAATGGGGAGGGACATCTGTGAGCCTCCCTGAGCTCGGGAGGCACATACGGGGACCCCACCCCTCCCCCCTCGGCGTGGTGGCGTGTACATATTTCGGGAATCTCGGGCCCTAAGGTAACGGACGCCCTACCCCACGTTTGTACGTTTACTGTAAGGATACTATTCGAATTCCCGCCAAAAACAATAAATCGATAAACCAGTACGCGTCGTAAATGTCACTGCCTTATTTATAAAGTGCGGCCCAGGCGGATTATCGATTACCTATCAACCAGGCGTTTCGTACTCGCGAGGTCTTATCGTTTTAAGGTCATCCAGCTGTCAGTTTACGAAACAAATTACTCTGGACTGTACTTTAAAGTGCGGACCTAGCTCGATTATCGATTATCAATCAACCATCCATCAACTTTAATTAGTGTAACGTCCTTCATCGATTTAAGATCATACCGTTTAATGGATGTTACATTTGGTTGGGATAAATATTTATTTGCTAATTCGTCAACACACTTCTTTTCAAAATACATCAACTATAATACATATTTACATTATAACATTCAAAATTCTTCATTGAATCATACACAAATTACAAAGGTATTAAATCGGAATCTTTAACCCACGAATCAAACTTTTTTGGCCAATATTGCCAACGCACTAAATGTTCCCGTTGCCCTCGTCTAGTTCGTGTTTTCAAGATTTTTTCTACTTTCCAAATATCATCTTCATTCGCTTGTACTCTTTGAAGCTCCGATTGGTAAAAAGTACCCTTAATGTCTTCATTTTGAAAATCATTTAAACGATATAATGGGAGGCCCTGCCTAATAAAACGTTTCGTTACTTTAAAAATTTCCCCTGTCCAATGTTGGTCGTATTCTCTACTAAAAACATGTCTCGACTGGGTAATTCTTACCAGAGCTCCAATGGGGAATTTAAAGATGTGATTAGATTTGGTTTTAACGATAGTTGATTTAGGATAATACATCCGCCACCAAATAACCAATTCATCGTCTTTAGATACATTTTTAGGAGCCATTTTTATACCCCTATGCCAAGTGGCGTTATAACTCTTCACAAAGTTTTGTAAATTGTCTATAAATCTATGGTTCTGTTTGTACGTGATATACCTCATTATTTTAGTCTTTAACGTCTTTATCAATCTTTCTGCATAGTTGGCCTTGGGGGTATTACCCGTAACAAAATGGCGGACTCCCCATCTATTCAACAATGTTTGTACAACCTTAGCGCGGAATTCTTGACCTTTGTCCGTCCTAGTGACATCTGGTTGTCGACCTTCTTTCAATATATCATCGAAAGCCTCCGCCACTGCCTTTCCAGTTTTGGAGTGTAGCGGTCTAACCCAGGCAAAGCGAGACATAATGTCAATCGCAACCAGGATATACTTTATCCCGTCATTCTGCGATGATATATTAGAGACATCCATAAGATCTGCATCCCATTGTTCGTCAATATGCGAGACATATACTTTGTTACGAGCGAATCGTTTCTTATAAGGTCTCTGTAGGCCATAAGCTTCTTGATTGTCCAGCCATTTCTTTATCTGATAACGGGACAGCTGGTATTTCCCATCATTTAGTACAGCTCTATAGAGTTTGTCTGGTCCAGCAAAGGCTCCAGAATTTCGACTGTCAAAGTATAATTTCTTTAAATAGTCTTGATATGCCATCTTACACTGTCGGAATCTGACTCCTTAATGACGATCTCTCTTTAAATTGCTAATATTTATCACTCAGTGCTTGATTCAACAGCCTCGTTTTCGGATTCACTCTGTTCTTCCTCGGAGCTACTTTCCTGGTCTGTATCCTCTATAAAGACCTCATCAAACTTGTGTTTGTTTTTTAAAAGTGTCTTCCTAATGGCTAAGTTCACAGAGACACCCCTCCTCATCATATTATTTATTGAATCAATTATATTTCTGTGTAACGCATTGTCTTTTACATCAACCGTTAGCTTGACGAATTGTTTATATCCTTTTATAAATTCTTCCTTATTCTTTGACAATAGTTTATTATCTGCCTTTTCTACAGCCTCTGTCTTATCCATCCCTCTATCCATATACTCATCCACTTTACGTCGGTGGTCTTCCTCATTCTGTCTTATAGACCACTTCTTTAAGAATGCAAATGTTTCATTTGCTTTCAAATCACCATCATCGTCATCAACGTCATTGTCTTTGTCTTGAGGAATCTTCTCCTCAATATTTTGGGTAGATTGGGTCCTCATCCTCTTGGGTAGTGGTCCCTGATCTTGACACCACTTTTTTATATGCCTCTGTAAGTCGTGAATGCTATCAAATACTAAACCACAGTCATCACAGGATACCATGCTGTCTTCTCGAAATTCACGTTCCATGTAAGGGTAGTTCTTAACATCACTACTATTTATAAATGTTGTCGTCGGATAGTCAACTTCTGAAATACCCTGTCTTTCAAGTAAGTGTTTTGAATCATTCATTGGTTCCTTGAAGTTGCGGGAATCGTGATGACTTTCAAATTCAACTTCACTTTTAGTAAAGGCATTTGGTTTCAATCTGCTGTGCTCCGAAGTTTCTTGCTTCAGATCAAGAAGCAGGTAACCATAGGGTCGACTAGTTGCGTTGGTATATGCTCTGACCAACTTGTTTCCATTTCCGGGGTACATCTGCCTCGATAAGAATGCCACCTGTTGGCGATCTCTCGGGTTATTAAACAGTATCATATAGTGAGAGTTTAAGCTCATCGATCTATTCATTTTTCCTTGATGATACATATTCTGGAGTAGGCATATCACAGACAGATTTCGATGGTGACTGCCTTTGCTATAGAGATCACATATCCGTTGATCATTTGTTGCCTCATTCATAAGATCATCGAGAAGTATCAAAGTAGGAACTGAAGTGTCAAGGTATCTTGAATCATCAATATCCTCTGGTATTCCCTTCACAAATTCCAAATGTGGGTATTTTCTTAGCTCTTCGTAGGCAGGCTGCCATTGACCATAACACCAGATGATTCTTCTAGGAATTGGGGATATATACCGTTCAACATTTTTGATCGAGTGCTTCATAAGCCAGGTCTTCCCCGACGATGTTGGTCCGGCTGAAAATACAACAAAAAAATTTTTTTTTAATAAATTGACATGCTCTCTTTCTATATTTAGAAACCTATCAGACTTTTAATTTCAACATGTCCATGCCTATACCTGCTATCATAGTAAACGGATGTTTCAGCATAACATCAGACTGATGCATTTTTTCTCCATGAAACTTATTCATATGCCTTGATAGGTTATCACCTCTCGTAAAATTCACACTACACTCAGAACAATTGAAAGACATGTTGTCTGTTCAAGATCTATCAGTAAAATGACTCAAAACATGGACAACTTAAAATATATAAGAATATTCTAATGTGCAGTATTGTGATTGGTTCAAAATGTGTCAATTAAGATCAATTGTAAACATAAACAGGCATTTATGACATTATAAACTATTGAATATTAAAGTAAAGGGAGGGGAGGAGGTTTGGAAGATGGAGAAGAGACAGGAGGAGGTTGGGTGGAAGTAGGAGGAGGTATGAGGTAAGGAGGAGGTAGGGAGGAGGTGGGAGGAGGTAAGGAAGAGGTTTGAGGAGGTAAGGAGGAGGTAATGATGAGGTAGGGAGGAGGTGGGAGGAGGTAAGGAGGAAGCGGGAGGAGGTAGAGAGGAGGTGGGAGAAGGTAAGGAAGAGGTGGGAAGAGGTAAGGAGGATATAGGGAGGAGGTAATGATGAGGTAGGGAGGAGGCGGGGGGAGGTAAGGAGGAGGTAAGGAGGAAGTGGGAGGAGGTAGGGAAAAGATGGCTAACTTCCGTTTTAAAACCTACCCAGGCCGACTAAAAGATGCCTCACTTCCGCTATGATGTCACCCTCTTGCCCAGACAGATGCAAAATGGCTGACTTCCTGCTAGAAAGCTTCAAAATGGCCGACTTCCGGTTAAATGGCTGACTTCCGGGCTGACTTCCGGTCAAAATGGCTGACTTCCTGTCAAAATGGCTAACTTCCGGAACGTATAGTCGTGGGGTAGGGCGTCCGTTACTCTTAGGGCCCGAGATTCCCGAAATATGTACACGCCACCACGCCGAGGGGGGAGGGGTGGGGTCCCCGTATGTGCCTCCCGAGCTCAGGGAGGCTCACAGATGTCCCTCCCCATTGGAGCCCATGTTAGGGAGGGTACTATGAAAAATCGTGTCCCTCCCCATAGGACTCAATGTTAAAGGTGCGTCAGAACTCTCGTTTCTGTAACTACTTTTATAGTTGACATAATGCGTTTGTGTAACGAAACTGATGTGTTATATCGATGATCAAAATTTCAATGGCCTCAATAGGTTTTTATGGTCGTGATGGAATATGAATTTTTCCATAAGAAGAGAGAACATCGTATTTTCCATGGCCAATTTCATATTTTCCTCGTAATGAAATTCATATTCAATCCCTTCCATTTGAATAACCTATTATACACGACAGAAATATGTTTTAATTTACACATAAAGAATACTGTCTAATTAATATTCCAAAACAATTTGTCAATTCACATCTATTGAATATTTGTCAATGTACAGTACATGAATATTAATCAATTCACACTCCGAGAATATTATGTGAATTGATTACTCTGGGATATCAAATACAGCTTGTAGTTCAATCTCACATATCTGATACACGGTTGAGGTCGATACCGATACTATTGCAGCATGAAGAGAGTCTTCTCCTTCATCTGTTTTACAGGTCCATGTAAACTCCCCCGTGCCTGGGTACTCCGGTCCGGCACAGCGTAGCATCTTTGCAGTTGTTACATTGGCTGTCGTGTCACCTGTGCTAAACACGTCAAAATCATCTGCAGCTCCACCATTTGTTGTAATCACCAGTTTGAACTGAGTAAGTCCAATGGCATTTGTGTAAAACAGCAATCTCGACCCAGACACATACTGAACCTCAAAGGCGCAGACACTTTTGTCCATATCTGTCAGTGTACGGATGAGTTGTCTCTTCTCAGACTGAAACGTTTCGTGCACAATTGGAGCTGACGAACTTGCAAGGTTTTGTCCTACAACATTTATACTCATTTAACATCTACTTTTGTCAATATATAATTATCAGTTCAAAATAATGATGAAATACGAATTTCAGCTTGGGGTAGTTCAATATTAGCATAACATGAAAACAGTTTGAATATAATAAAAAAAAACTTCAAATACAAATTATAGAAATTGCATTTTTGCATTTGAAAAGTACACGTGCCAAATGATATTCGATACAGACATCGTTATCACTTTATATGAAAGTACAGAACTCAAATACTATAATCTTAAAGGATTGGGAATAAAAAGGTTGTCATAGTCGTTAAGCAATAACTACCTGTGAAGATTTGAATTTCACTCATCCCTGTTGCTATTTCTGACGCCTCGATATTCAACATTTCCTCGATTGTGAACTTCACAGATTTCATCAAACGGGCGTTTGGTAAAGGAAGGGTTGTCCATCGAAAACTTCCACATTCAAATTCATCAAAATACATAAAAACTTGCGAACTGACCTACAAGTAAAACATCTGCATTACAACATGCGACTAAAATAAAATTTGAAATCCTATTTGGAAGTGTTAAATTACATCTTAATACCAATTGGCAGACAGTTCTTATTAGTATGTTTTTTTTGGGGGGGGGGGTAAATTGTACGTTATTAAATATAACGTGTATGTAAACGTGTAATATTGTAAAACCAAGGATAATCATCGCCCTCAAAATTGTTTTTTCTAGTGACCAAATAACAAATGTTTTTTACTACTTGTTAGTTAGTCGTATCAAATAAGCACTAAAAGTAAATATAAGTTTTAGTTTTGACATGCTTAATTTTGGCTTTTGTAGAATACTTGAAATGGTTCATACGCACACCTTTAACAAAGAATGGCACGTAGCATGGTTCAAATCCATCAAAGTAACAATTCTTGGTTTGATTTATGAAAAAATGTCATCTTATATTTGAAATGTCTCGAAACATTACTTTAAATATTTTGAGTTACCACCTTTGGTGTTTAAGTGCATGGATGCTTACCGAAATTCCCCATTTCAAACTTGCCGACGCATCGTACAGCTGGACAAGTACTTTCTTGTGCTGACTGTTCCTTGCACATCTGTTTGCGTATTTAATCACGTGTACCCAATATTCCGCATCTAACGTAATTGAAATCCACTGGCCTTCCCACGTGTTCCATTGAAAAGCAAAATTGGCAATGAGTGTCCCATCAATTGCGTTATGTGCAGCAAGATCCGAGTTGAATTGAGATGATGACGTTGCAGTTCCAATAAGAGCAGCCTGATTAGTCAATGGTCCAAAATCTGCAAATGATATAAACAACATGAACAATCTATTAGCTTTAACTGCAATTTATATGGCTGCATATATTTCTCTTTACCCAACTAAGTATATTGCTTACTTTTTTAGTTACCCTATGTTCATCGATTTAAGGTATAGGCAATTTTTGCACATATATTTTCTTTCTCTAATGACTGAAATTAGTTACCAGCAAGTATATCCAGTTCTACTATTCCAAATGGTTCTGCTGATTTCACATACGCTTCAATGAACGTTATCTTTACCCAATTGGCAAGAAGAGGTGGTTCAAATCTCACAGATTCCCAACTATGTTGGTCCGTAGATTTCATATCAAACATATCCGTCTAGTAAAGAAAATTCATCTCAATTTCAATTCATACAGGTACTTTAATGTTTGACATATGCATTCGAATACGAGACTAGTGATTTATTACTTAAGATAATTGTTTAATACCTTGGTTGTTGAACCATCGCTGAAATCCATTTTGACTTTGCGGGCCTGCGTTAAGAGGCTCTCGCGATTCTGGATCATACCAACCTCTTTAACCCAAAATGGTCTTGCCAAAGTGACATTGACCCATGCGCCAACATTTCCAGGTTCTACAAAATATAAGGCATTTCAACAATAGCTTCATATAAAATTGGGTATCTCGGTAGCAAAAATCTAACACCCAAGTATAACAAGTGGCATGCCATCGATGATTGGATTGTTGTATTTTTGTGGACAAATTATTTGATTCTCGGTTCTAGATTATGTGTTAACAAAATAATAATGATACACATGAAATAAGTTAAAGAAAGTCGTCTTGGGTCTAAAATTGCACAGAACCATAAAAAGCTGTTCTATCGTTTGACGTTTAGATTTAAACAGAGTGGCCTCTGAAAAATTCAGATATTACCTACTGGGCAGCCAATAACATCAAATCTCATACACATGTTGACATAGTAGGTTTGAGGATTGATCCGAACGTATCTGGCTTCTACAGGTGGATCAAGCATATTTTGAACCTTCGTATCTCTATCGCTATTGCCTTGTAGAACCTTAAAAGAACACAGTGTTTTAAAAAACAGTTCTCTTGGTAATACAGAGCTCACATAAGCTCTGATTCATCGGCCGGCACCCGTTCGATTGAGTATTTTGTTCAAAAATGAATGCAATTCTGAAGTCTATCCCTTTATTCGATCACTATTTAGAATCTATTTTGATGAATAGACCAGTGCAAATGAAAGTTAATCCTAGACATCGGCACAAGGCATGTACTGTATTTTGCCAGTAGTAGTTGTGTGCTGATTAAAAAAACTGATTAAAAAAATTAATAGCCCTTTAAACGGGTTTTGTCGTCATTAGAACGTCCGTCCCACTGTGCCTACGGGTCGTGACGAATTTATGCTTTTTAAGCAATTGGCTTCCTAGCTCTTAAAGTATTCTTAGGACACTAGAAGAGCCTTAAAAGAGAAAAACGAAACAAGAAATTCATAGAAATGCCCTTATGGGCATCTAAATCCAAAAATCCATACGTAAATGCAAGTAGGAATCTATCTAAAGTGTTTTTATTTCCATTCTTAATTACAAGTTTGTTTTCAGTCACTTTCAAAATTAAATTACTTTGAAGTTCAATTGTATTAAATGTCTTTAATTTTTTATATTAGATTTCGGTAAGATTTGTAGAAAAATATAATGTCTTTACAGTTTATCTTTGATGACAAAAGTCTAAGAAATCACATGTTAATGCACTTTCCATTCAATTCAATGCCCTTTTAGTCTTTTTAGGGGGTTAAAAGTGGGCCTTATTGACCCTGACAACTGTCACTTAACGAGCTCATCTTTGTACTAATGGATGTTTTGTCTCGATGTTGCACTAACTCGGACTCGCCCTCATTTATACCAATACAAACGACCCACTAAAGCTAAGTTCACACCAACGACGTTTTGATGGCGCTCTAATGCGTCGTGCAAAGTGGCTTTACACGCCCCTTTAAAGCACCATCAAATCGCCCTTGGTGTGAACTAGGCTTTAACGACCCACTTCCAAGTATATATGCTAAACTAATTAGTGCGAGTAAATAGTAAACTTTTATTTCGGGCTATGTGTCCTGCCCACGTTGAACTAGGGATTGTCACACACACAGATACATACACACAATAACCCAGATGACATGCATTCCAATCCTCAAACAACACTTGATATCGATTGTTTAAGCTAAGTTTACACCAATGGCGCTTAAATTGCGCTTTAAAGCGTCGTGCAAAACCGCTTTGCACGCCGCTTTGAAGCGCCATCAAAGCGCCGTTGGTATGAACTTAGCTTTACGTACCGTCTTATATTCATATAGGCTGTCTTCGTCTTTACCATATAAAAACTTGTATGACGAAACCCACTGGTGTGCCCAATTTCTTCCTTGAGTTATGATCCCTCTTATAAACATTACTTGACCAAGGTCTGCTTGTATCCATTCTGCGTTACCCGGATACTGAGTAGCGTGCCAGCATCCAGTCTGATATGGACTAGATATCCTTAAAAGCAATGGATATATCAATAAGCATTTTTGTCAACTTCTTTAAGGCATGTACGATATAGAAATAATGAAACTTAGTAAAATACACGTGATGAGAATAACTATCGTGAGGAGTCAGTGTAATTTAAAGTTATCTAATTGATAAACATCACATTGCATGAACACCCACGACATTCCTTTTACTACCATGATACTCATTGCAGTCCTGTGAATTCGATGAGAACTATGACTATGTCTTTGCATTATCTTGGTCTATGGATAATTCACTTTCAAAATCAGCATTTCAGTGAATGAACCAAAAATCATAACAATAGAGCTTACTCCGGAGTATCAAGTCTCGAGCGGTGTGCTCCGTATGCAAATTGATTATTATCCCAAAAGCTAGAAGCAGTTAGGGCTGAATCTTGGACGTTGTACTTATCCCCAGACACTAGACGTCCATCACAAGTTGCTGAATTGAAATTAAATAAGCTTATGGTTTCATGACAAACATAGAAAACATATCAACATAAATTTATCAAATATTGAACAAAATTAACAAAGCTGAGACATACGTGAACGAGACTGGGATTTCCATGTGTGTCCTAAGTTTTCGAATGTAGATTTAATCTCTCCATCTATCGCATTATTGCAACTGGTTCTACTTGTGCTTGATGAGCATTCGATTGTAGCTCCAGATGAAAGCTTTGCAACATCCGCACTGACCCGATTTTCTGTAAAAGAAGACATTGGTTGAACGTTGAGCATCATCATTCACGTATAACAACAATTTAAACAACATATATATGCCTGGGTCTAATTTTCCCCGATTGAGTATTTGTTCAATGCTGTATTCAATTTTGAACAAAATACTCAATCGGCCAGGCGGCGTAGTGAAAATAGGAGCAAATGTGACCAAGGCATTAAAAGGCCTACACTGTTAAAACGTACACACAAAACACAGTATACCATATCTTGATCAACTGTCCATCTTGTTCCGATTTATAAATACTGAAATCCACCTCAAAATACAAAATATAGAGATAAGCACCTTCCATTCTGAATCCAGTGTCGTATACGTTGTTCCTATAAGCCCCTCCACATGTTTGGGTGTTACCCTCAGCCCCGCACGTCATGTCACATTCCGATTCGTCAAGCATTCCATGTTTACCGTAGGAATTTCCGCAAAAGCAAGTATTTGCATACTGGTTTCCTAAAAATGAGCTAATTCTTAACTTAAACTTGAATTTGGACGGGCCTCTTATTGAAGTCCGATAGAGATAAAAAAAAATTTCATTCGTAGTATTTAATCATACGTTTGAAATCATCCCTGGATTTGTTGAACAAATTGTCTATTTTCATAATTTTAAGAATATCTAGATTTGTTGCGTGAGAAAATAATAAGAGATGTTATGGTCGTTACGCTTTATTATTGGTCTCATAACTATCGTAGCACTCATATAATGTCGCCATACTTCGACAGCTACAAGTTGAAAAAAATCATGAGTTGTGATACGCTTACAATTACCTGAGTATTGAAATCCATGCGCCTTGCAAGTTGTGATACAATCCCATCGACTTCTCCGTACAAGTTCCGTTCGTCCATTCAAGTCTCTATCTGCAGTATCAGCAAAGCATCCTAGGTACTCTAAAATATAATTGATATGATTAACTGTGTTAGATAATTATTTGTTAGTATTTATTTTCTATATTGTATTAATTGTGTTGTTTCTAAAGTTTATATTGTTGGGTGAAATGGCTAAATTGTGAGCGAAGCGGATGGAATGAAAATGCAAAAACTCAATTGAAAAGTTGATTAGATTTAAATGCTTGAAGTTGAATCTAAGCCATCTTGTACGCAAAACACTTTTCTAATTTTATTTCTTTATTGTGCCCAATTCTGAAAATTAGGTATTCTGATATCATAAAGCATGATTAAACACTTCTTGCCATTTCGGTTCTAAAATATTTAAAAAAGCTGCATATATGTTTAAAAAATGTAATCTTACGTAGTCTAACGAAATGCCTTACCATGATCGTTGAAAATGCGACTGTAAACTAACGTATTTTCGCATAAAGCTATAATCACAGCAGCCTGAAACCAATACATGTTTCGCCAATGGCCACAATACTATCGCTCTCTTGACTGAATGTGTGTGTTGTTGACCGATTTATGACCGATCAACAAACAAATGTACACAGTGTCCAAAGTGTTTTTAATGTTCGAGACTCTTGTATGAGACAATAAACCGATACAATTGGACAGGACAGATAAATAATTCTAAAGCGATACAGAAACAATTGTAATAATCATTGAGTTCTCTCAATTAATACTTAAACTAGACAATGGCAACTCTGCGGAGTAGCAAATCCCAACGAACAAAATATCAATTACCGAATTCCAATCAATTATACTCATTTCTTTGGTTAAAATTGAAAAATTTAGATTTTAAAATTGCGAATTCCTGCAAAGCAGCCATTTTGAATTTTCTGAGGTACAAATCTGAAGAATAATACCATAATTGTGATCCACTCCAAAATTCCTTCAATTTGAGTATAATATAGCCATACTTTGAAGGGATCGAAAAATTATTGCGAAATCGTACATTAGACGGCCATTTTGAATTTTACGAGGCTCGAATCAGAAAAAAAGATACAATATTTGCAATCTACTCTTAATTGCCTTTCATTTGAGTATAATAAAGCTATACTTCAGAAAGATCTAAAAATTAGCGAAAATTACTGTTTTCCTGACCCCCCCCCCCCATACACGGCCCCTGGGGGTCAGGATGAAAAACACGGAATATATGTGAAAAAGATAGATGTTGCGAATATACTACCAACATTTCAAACAATAATATGAATTACTTTGGTTTAGAATGAAAAATTTATGGTTTTTGCGAAAAAGTCCCGTCATTTTTAAAGCGGCGGCCATCTTGAAAAAGACGGACGGACGGACTGACTGACGGACTGGCGGACGGAGGGCTTCACTATATCCCTACCGAACTTCGTTCGTTGGGATAATAATTTATCTACGTGTGTAAACCCATCCTCCTAAGCAGGTGTCCAGAATCCGTACCTCCTTCTAAAACATAAATTGCTGTTTAACACATCGTAACACATAATAGGCACCGAGAAATAAGACTCAACGTTAATTTAGAAGTTTTCTCTAGGATCGGAGGGTTGAATTTTGTGCCACCATGTATATTAAATATTTAATGATATATTGTGAATTATGGTATTTAATGGATTACGATGACGGCTTTGCAAACGGACCTATGGACTTCAAGACTGGATTTCGTCTACCCCAAATCATTTGAGACTGAATGCTGTATATTTTAGTACTCTACTATTCTTTTTAATATTATGAGTATTGGCTTATTTATTTTTTTCAATTTTTTCTCAACATTGTATTGTAATGACTTCAGTATGAATGAAATGTCCCTTGTTGTCCTGGTCCTGGATTGTGATATTGCTTCCCAATAGAAGGTGGAAGGGGTGGGTGTTAGACATCATTTCTTTTCACGTTTAATCATTGGGATATGTAGGGGTATCTAATGACAAGTTTACACTTAGAGTTTACGTTTCTTGTTAGGTTTCTTTACAGTTTTTGGTTCTTTCATTTTTGCATTTGTGGTTTGATAATCATTTTAAAACTATTTGAGTCATTGTAAGTGTCTTTCATGCTTAGCATCATGGCTTTCAATTATTCTAGTTGAAAGCCTATGTTAGCATGTAGCAACATGGACGTGAAAATAAACAAACATGAGTATATTATTAGAATCAAAGGCACACATTTATTGAAGCTATCAAACGCTCCTGTCAATGTTATATATAATTAATGCCATATAAGGGACACACAATGTATCTGAATACACTGAGATCGATAGTTCACGGATTTGATTTTTATTTTGTCATTTTACGAATTTGGGATAAAATGATGTTTTACCAATTTATTTTGATGAACTTTTTTCATTTTCAACCTCTACGCCATTTTAGACCATTATCGAAATGTAAATTCTTCATGAAGATATAAACCATAAGCTTTTTTAAAAATGCTTAGGGGTGAGTATATTAAATCTGAGTATGCCGGATATTTGGCACAGGTGCATATTAGAAAAAACGATCTACTTCAAATATCTGACACCAATATAAAAAATTGTTTATCAAAATATGCAATAAATAATTAAGTAAATAATCAATATAAATACTGGCAATAGGAAAAGTGGTTCACACTCTTAGAGGTAAGGGAAACAACCCCAGAGCTTTAGAGTTCACAGATTATCTCTCTTGCTTACCACCTCCGTATGTCACTAATTATCACCAGCTAGTTTTCGAATATAACATGTCGTTTTGATGTTTTAATTTATGTTAGCATAGTCCTTACATCTTTCTTTATCGTACTGAGGATTAACGAGCTAAACTATTGATTAATACGTCAGAAACCAGCATATTATCATTGGAAGCTGTTTTGAAAATTATGAACTTACCGCCATTGAATGACGGCATTTGTCTGTCGATTTGACCAATCAGCGACGTCTTCTCAATACATATTTACATTATAGACGTCTTATTTGAACCATGGGGTTATTCCCCCCTTCTTAGGCGTTAATTTCCTTTTTGGAAAGTACATTTTATACTCTCCTCCATAAGTGTGGCTGCCGGAAATCCGGAAGTGTGAAGCGTTTTTATAAAACAGAAATACAATACATAATCTGTTCTGAATTGATGAACGTGATCCAATTTATCAATTTTTATGCTTAGAATACAATTAACACTTATAGTTTTGACAAACAATGACTTCTTCAAAAAATCTTGAAATATCTTGGAAATTGAAGTATTTTTCAGTTTTTTCTAATTTCAATGCAAATTATACGAGAATAATACTAGGCCCGATTCAAAAGTTTCTTACCAAGTGCTCTCGTTTTTTTTTTCTTGAGATTTTAACTTGAAATTTTTACAGATTATACATGCAACATTGCTTCTAAGGTGACATAAATTATTTATCAATTGAATGAAATTTACAAAAGATAAAGATGTTTATGGATTTGAAAGTAGCTAGAGTGGAGCAGCTGTCATTGTCCGTAATAAGGGCGATTTCACGCCATTCCTTGATACTCGTATGGGTCATAATGGAGAGTCTTTACATGCCTCACATGCCTTCAAAATAATCTCCCCCGAATGCGATACATTTCCTGCATCTAGTGATACGATATCTGGATACATGAATGCGATTTTTCATTGGAATCAGATGTTCTATAAATTTTAATCCGCGGGGGGGCTTTTCCACCACGTGAAAAGTAGTAATCACATGGTGCCAAATCCGGTGAATAAGGAGATTTGGGGAGTCTTTATGTCCCTGGAAGAAAGTTGTCTATTGTGTAATTTGTGATGTTTGCCCTATGGGCAGGTGCATTATTATCAAGGAAGATAAATCCCTGTGAAAGCATATGGGGCTTTTTCATCCGTGAGGCATTCTTCACACTTCAAATTAATTAATCAATCAACCATGAATAAAATGACTGCCAATCAAAGTAAGTGGGCATACTATACTCTGACTAAAATATTATGATATCACATAAGCAGTGTTACTAAAGCAACAATACAGTTGAACACATTGGACATTCAAAACTATACAAAAAGTGATGATACAAGTGTGAATGTGATTGCTAAAAGAGATAAAGTAAGTTAAGCTCAGCTACAAAATCCAACCTTCTTTGAGTTTGGTTGCTATGGCAACCTCTTAGTCAACAGTAAACAGGGAACTTGTCAGCAACTATAGACCAGTGACACTCTTAAGTAACCTTTCGAAAGTTCTTGAAACCATCATTCACAAACATATTTTGGCTCATCTGCTTCAACACAACCTTTTATACAAATTCCAGAGTGGTTTCTCCCGAAGCACAGCACCGTTAACCAGTTAATTAACATTGTTCACAATATCCATGAAAATATAGATAACAATAAATATGTCCGCTCGGCTTTCTTAGATTTAACAGCCGCTTTTGATTTAGTCCCGCATAGATTACTTAAACAGAAACTTAAGGCTATGGTTGTAATTTTAATTTTGTACAGCTAATGACACCATATTTAAAAGACAGGAGGGTTCGAGCCAAAGTCAACAACAGCTTATCTGATTGGTCCTCTGAAAATTATGGAAATCTTAATAATGGAATAAATAACAATAATAATAAAAATGATCACAATATAAATAACTATAAAATCAATGCAGGTGTACCACTAGGATCAGTCCTCGGGCCCCTCCTATTTCTTATTAACATTAATGACTTACCAGATGATTGATACCAAAACATTTATTTTTGCTGATGATACATCTATTTATAGTGCACATGACAGTTTTGATCAGATTTTAAACATTCACCAACCACTTCAAAGAGATCTTGACATTTTGGCAAATTGGGCCATGACTTGGAAGATGACTTTTAGGGCACAAAAAAGTGCTGACTTAACCTTTGTATCAGGAAATAGAAGACTATTACAAGAGCCAGTCCCTTTAAAACTAGGAGGAGATGTGATACCTAGTTGTACCAAACACAAGCACCTCGGCTTAGTGCTTGATCAAAATCTAAACTTTAATTCACATGTTGACCAACTCATAGAGAGAGTAATCTCTCTCATGAGACCACTGAAAACGTTAACTAAAATACTAAACAGTAAATACCTAGAGAATATATATAATTCATTTATACTACCACATTTCGACTACTGTGATACAATATATGATAAGGCATCAACTTCAAAACTATTAATATTGGATAGACTTCATTATCAAGCAGCGTGCCATGTGTCAGGGGCAATACACGGTTCAAACACATACAAAGTTTTATCATTACTCAACTGGAAAATGTTAGCTTCCAGGAGAGAAGAACATCTTAAAATTTTTGCTTTCAAGGCTAGATACCATCGTTTCCCTCCTTTCATTTGTGATTTAGTTAGTTCATACGAGAATATTCCAAATCGGCCCCTAAGACAACCAAGGCATTATAGAATACCCTTTCCAATCAGTAATTCGTTCAAAAAGTCAACCATTATCAGGGCTCTGACCCTGTGGGATGACATACCATATGAGGACAGGAAAGGCCAACCTATATCTAGATTTAAAAGGTTAGTAAGAGGAAATATGAGCCCTGACTCCAGAGTATCCACTACTAAAATGAATATGACAATGCCAAGGAAAACCGAAATTCTGTTCAATAGATTTAGAGCTGGACTGATTCTAAAAGCACATTTATATTCCCATAACTTTGTGACAGTAAATGACCCTTTCTGCGTATGTGGTGACATACAACAAACAACGCATCACTTTTTTATTAAACTGCCCTCTGCTGCAACAAGGATGCACTCTCCTAGCAGGACTAAAAACCTTAGGACCTTATTTTTCAATCGTTTCCAAAATTTAAACTCTTATGAAAAAAATCAATTTTTATGTTTGGAGACAGAAATCTCACAGTAACTGATAATGAACAAATTATTCATATAGTTAGCCATTACATCTGCCAGGCTCTTGATATTTTAGATTAACCCCCCCCCCCCCGAAAGCCTCTAACATTGCCTGACATTAATATTATGTACCTTATCTATTGTATTTTCATTGTTTCCATTTTCATATGTTTTGTATATTGCCAACAATGTTGAAAAACGTAGGCAATAATATTGTGTTTTATGTTATATATGGAATAAATGAGAAATTGAAAAAAACAATAAACATTTATTCCTCAAAATTATGTGTGTAAACTAAAGGTATATGGTGTATACATATTCTGTAAAAAATTCAGGTTCAAATGTCAAGAAATAAAAAAAATGAGAGTATTTGGTAATAAACTTTCTGATCGGGCCTCGTATGGAAAATACATGTTTCAAAATGATATGGGGACAGTATCCCGTGATTATCAGTTGCTAGATTGTCCCTAAATAGTGTGTGTTAAATGGAGCTAGCTGATTTTTGGAGCCAGTTTTGAAAATAAACGGTGCGTTTTTTTAACAGAAATACAATGCATAATAGCTTAATGGAGCGAGCTGATTTGTAAACTGACACCAACTTGGAGCCAGTTTTGAAAAATGAGTGGTGCGTTTTTATAAACAGAAATACACTGCATGATCTGTTCTGAATTGATGAACGTGATCCAATTCATCGCTAGTCATGCTTATCACTCAATTTACACAATAGTTTTGGCTTAAAATGACTTCTTGCAAAAAATATTAAAATATGTTAAGATTTTACGTATTTTCCAGTTTTTTTCATTTTCATGCACATTAAATAAGCAGTAGACAATATCCCGTTATTCCCAGTTGCTAGATTGTCCCTAAATAGCGTTTATAAATGGAGCTAGCTTACATGTAAACTGGGTCCAACTTGAATCAAGTTTTGAAAAATGTGCGGAGCGGTTTTAGGAAACCATGCATAATCTATTCTGAAAATTTATGAACGTGATCCAATTCATCAATTTTTATGCTCAGAATCTTCATAGTTTTGGCATAAAATGACTTCTTGCAAAAATTCTTGAAATATCTTTAAAAGATTTCATTTTTCCTCATTTCCATGCAAATAACATGTCGAGTATAAAATGCATAATGCAGAAAAGATTGATCGGGTTTCTTATGATTCTGAATTTATAGTGATACCTAAATAGCTTGTGTTGAATGAAGCGACCTAATTTTAAACTGGTTCCAACTTGGAGGCAGTTTTGTAAAATGAGCGTTGCGTTTTTATTAAACAGAAATACAATGCATCGTGGCACATTATATTGTCCCTTTTCCTTTTCACAGTTGAGTGAAATCCGTCATCCCTGTATTGTTTGTTCCATCTGTACATTGTGCCTCTGGACAACTTCCATCATTTCGATGACTTCCATTTCCAATTATAACAGTTGTAGAAACTGATTCGACTTTTCCCTAAAAAAATAACTGTATAATTTAGCTTCCAAAGAGATCACCATGTGAGCATTTATTTATACATATACTGAAATCTATCTCGAGTCATTTGACCAAAACGTATTGTGATGATGTTCAATGAGATAAATCAATCACAATAGTTCGGAACGGAAACCATATAACATTTTCACCGGAAAGTACTTTGTCTAGTATATAAAATTGAAATAAGCTGATATTCAAAGAGCGTTTATTCCACTCGACTCGCGTACATGCGACTCAGTACCAGCACACGAGTTTCTCTGATTATTCTCATGGGAGAAAGGCGCACATGCATATATGCTAATATACTAAGTGCGAGTAAAGATAATCTTGATTTATTTCATTAAATATTCAAAATTTAGTTAAAGGGATATCATATTTGAAGTCTACATGTAAAACTGCATCTAGAAATTACATGAAAGTCGCAGGAGCATAAATAGTGAAAGTATTACCACTGATTTCTTTCTTCGACAGCATTCAGGAAGACAATGGCGAATTGTTTCATATACTGGCCAATAAAGTCTCTTGTCCACGTCCTCTCTCTTATATTTCCCAGCTGTAAAAGATACGTTTGTCATTCACAAACCAAATCGGCGTGCGTTATCTGTCTTATTGCTTGATAAGGCGCTTGTACACGAAGCATTTATATATGTTTGAAAGGGCGCTTGTGCACGAAGCATTTATAGATGTTTGAAAGGGCGCTTGTGCACGAAGCATTTATGGATGTTTGAAAGGGCGCTTGTGCACGAAGCATTTATAAAAATAAGCCCTTCTCTTACCTGTTATAGAAGAAGCAACTAGGCTTACAGGAAGACCAACAGCAAAAGTGACAATCAACGCAATCAGCGTGTACCAAACATACGATACATTATACAAGTAGAATACACCAGACCTGCAAGTCAGTAAAAATAGTTATTCTAATAAATTATAAACCATGACCAGTCGTATGTCAGTATAAAGAAATAAACCACACGATAGAAACAATGTCATCTATATACAAAAAATACTTTGATATTAAATGTATAAACCATGAATATACAGGGTGGGCCAAAAAAAACTGATTTACTACTGATAAATATTTATTTTTTAAAATGTACACCAACAATGATATATCATTTTAAAGATAATTTAATTTGCAACAAAATGATATATACTAGCACCATTTTCAACAACCCCATACAGAAATATAACCAATTATGTGACATAGGGGTCAAAAAACACCTTTTCAATTTTTATCGATTTTGCGAACAAAAGCCTATTTCTACCAAATTTTACTGTTCAGTTAAAAATTGCAACATTGTCATGAGTCTTTCATAATTGGATATTATATATTGTTTTCATTCAGTTTTTGAACCATGCATGCTCAATAAACATGTGTATGCTTAAAAAACAATCTGTCCAAATATGGCTCATTAGATCCACCCCCCGGACCCATCTTCTGATCAGATTATTCGCTTAAGACGCGGAAGCCATTGGTTGATGGCATAATTGATGGATGTATGCGGAAGTACCATTCAACTGCTAGTTATTCTTTCTTTTAGTTCCTCTACATCCCTGATAGGCTGGGTATCTTCAAATACCAAATGTTCTAGATGCCCCCGGGTATGGTAATCAACATCATTGGCATCTGGACTGTCAGTAAGCCATTTGTCTGGGCTAGAAATGGTATCATTTCGAATCTCCAAAAACTCCAGGGTAGCATTGGACCTGTGTGATGAAGCACTTTCCTATAAGAAAATGAATTTTTTCACATGTTTTTATATTCTTGAGGAGTCCTTTTTAACACCTCATGTCATTAACATTCAGAGTATATTTTTGCTCCTAATTCAACAAAAAAGGGCCTGTACGGTCTTTCCTTTTTGGGAAACACCGAGTGGACACCACTACCCTCTCACAAAATGTCATCTCGATTTGAGTACTAGCCTTTTATTGCAAATGTCCCTATTCTTGCTTACTGATATATAGAGTCTATCCTGTTGATTACATGTATAGTACTTGGGGCATTTAGAATAGTTGGTCTATGAAGATGACTAGCCTATCAGGGATGTAGACAGACTGAAATAATGAATAATTACGAGTTCGATGGTACTTCCGCAGAGATCCATCAATTATATCAATGGCGTTCGCGTCTTTAGAGAATAATCCGATTAGAGGATGGGTCTGGGGGTGGGTCTATTGAGCCATATTTGGACAAACTTAAGAAGAAATTATTAAGTTTTATAAGCATAAACATGTTTATTGAGCACGAATGGTTCAAAAACTGAATGAAAATAATATATAATATCCAATTATGAAAGACTCATGACAATGTTGCAATTTCTAACTAAACAGTAAAAGGTAGAAATAGGCTATTGTTCGCAAAATCGATGAAAATTAAAAAGGTGTTTTTTGACTCCCATGTCACATAAATGGTTATATCTCAAGCCAGGGTTGTTGAAAATTGTTCTATCATATATCATTTTGTTGCAAATTAAATCATCTTTAACATGATATATCATTGTTTGTGTACATGTTAGAAAATAAATATTTATCAGGAGTAATTGCAAGGGGGTGGGGTTTTTTGGCCCACCCTGTATAACAATTTGACAATATGTCCTCATCGCCTCTTATAAATACTCCCATACTCATCCTTCCATCCTAAATCAGACGTCACATTTGTGACATCTAAGTGCGAAGTGTTGAAAAGATAAGCTGGTGTCGTTCCATTATTTCCCAATGAAGCTATTTTGGCATACTCTGATGTTGTTGTTGTTGTGTTAGAGTATTTTGTTGTATTTGTACAGCCCGAGATATCAGTTGGCAAGTTTTTCGGACCAATCTTAAACATCAGAACGCCCGTATTAATCCAAATTAGGATTCCAAGACTTGAAAAGAGACCACTTGCAACCCCCTAAAATGGATCGATTGATTCGATTTAGGGGGAAAATTATTAGAATTGTCCAATATTTCAATTTTTGGGATGATAGTGTGTTTTAGGTCAATTGTCTTTAGATTATAAAATGGAACGAAGACAGCTGTTATCTGTGTGTTCGTTTATTTATAATGCTTGATTGAACACTTTCTAAGAAAACAAATAATTGATAATACATGTAACTTAATAGTTAATAGTTTTATTTAATTCGCGAGAAGAGTTTTATTTCTCTTGCAAAATTAAAGTCCTTGGTGATGTCACGTCGGGGTACCATAGTAACCATGAAATCAGTCAATCAAGCGGAAGCTTAATTCTTGCGATATTACATCTCAATAATGTTCGGGGAATATATGTATTAAGTTTCAAGATGATTGGTTTGCAACATTTTGTTATAATACTAAGTCGCACTTGGGGTGGGGTTCATTTGAATCCCCTTCTGTGATTGTTTACTACATTTTTGATTTCAAAATTATTGGTATTGTTGTAATCTCTATTCCTTTACCTCTTCAGAAAAGTATTTTTTAAAGTCGGTCAACAAAGGTCAAATTGAGGAGCGTGACATTTTGTGATAAATTGTCAATTATTAACAGAAGTTTTAAATTAAAAGTGCTAATTGTTTATCGCTGTGTGTCTGACAGTCTGATTCAAAAGTATCAGTACTGCCTACACACTATGTGTCTCATGAACCATTTCACAACAAACTAGCAATTGGAATACTGTTTGGATGTGGAATTTTTATTGATGAATAATTAAATATATATTTAAGGGAATTTTTTATATATTAGTTGCTAGATATATATACCTACCCACGTATTAGCACAGGGAAATAGTATACCAATCGTAAACATTCCGAAAATAGGTCCCCCAAGAATACCAGATAGTTTAAAATATATAACTGTAATTGTATCCTTTGCCTCTGCTAGTATGAAGGTAACTGCTATTGTTGCGATCCCAAAGAATGCACCTAAAATTAGCAAACATTTTCATTCTCTCTGTTTAAAAATATTTAACAGATTCTTTCATGTCAAGTCTTTGATATTAAATGTGTTTTAAAGACTATAGAGACAAGCTGAGAGACACTTTCGAAAACTTATCACAATTTACCATAAATGTTGCTTTCGACAATAGCGCTGACATTATTTTAGAATAAGTCTGATTTTTAAGATTACCTAGCAATTCGAATATTAAAACGTTTCGCCATATTAAATCGTCAAAGGCTTTCATATTTGATGCATTATCTCAAACTTGTGGCAAAAATTGGAGATGCGAAGAAAACATAATACTGGATGAGCGTGGTGTAAAAGTGGTTTTGAAAAGTAGCAAATTTCTCTTCATATAGGTTATTTGTGGTTTATTATTATACATTGATTCTGAAATCATTGGTGTCTAGTTTTTCAGCGTTTTGGAAATATTCAGATTTATACCCCCCTGGTGTAATTTTAAGGGGGGTACTTGGAAAGCCATATACCATTCTTAGAATATAGAGCCAATCATCTTGATTTTTCCAGGTAATCATGTACTTATCATGTCCTACCATTATGACAAGTTTCATTAAAGTTGATCAACTGGTTGCTATGGAAATGGAGATCATATGTTAAAAAGTACACATTTTCGTCAAAATTTAAGATACCCCATGAGACAAAACACATTATTTTCCATGAAATTGGAAGGAATCTCCATGAAACCATTTTAGAAAACTTATTCAAAGTATATTTGATAATATTAAATCAACTGCTGTTTTATCTTATCCACACAGTGGAATCTATTGCTGATGATTATATGGCAATGCATGTAAATTTAGAAAGGGGATGTGGCACTTTTCCAAAGAATTCTTTATTTGTGTTCAACTTTTTGAAGAAAATAAGTAACCATTTGTTCTAAAATTAACAGATATTATTCACATCATTATGTTTGACTATCATGGGAAATTTCATCAGTGTTGGATAACTGGTTACTATGGTAAACATATTTATACCCCATTGGTATGATTTTAAGGGGGGTACAATGAAAGCCATCTATAATTCCTAGAATATACAGCCATTCATCTTGATATTTACAGGTAATCATCTACTTATAATGCACTACCACTATGACAAGTTTCATTAATGTTTAACACTTGGTAGCTAGGGTAACAGAAATAATCTATTAAAAAATACACATTAAGGAGATACTATGTATAATTCCTGGAATATTCAATTAATCATCTTGATATTTATGGGTAATCATCTGCTTATCATGTCTTACCAGTATGACAAGTGCCACCAATGTTGGTCAGTTGGTTGCTATGGTAACAGAAATCATTTCTTAAAAATTGCACATCAAGGGGGTACTATGTATAATTCCCAGAATATTTAATCAATCATCTTGATATTTACAAGTAATCATCTGCTTATCATGTCCTACCAGTATGACAAGTGCCATCAATGTTGGTCAATTGGTTGCTCTGGTAACAGAAATAATTTGTTAAAAAGTGCACATTAAGGGGGTACTATGAAAGCCATGTATAATTCCTAGAATAGTCAATCAATCATCTTGATATTTACGGGTAATCATCCGTTTACATGTCCTACCAGTATAACAAGTGCCTCAATGTTTGTAATTTGGTTGCTATGGTAACATAAATCATTTGTTAAAAGGGTACACATTTTCGTAAACACGATACAAAAATATGTCATATTCCGCAACGAATATGGCATATTCACTTGCGGTGTATGACAGATTCACCTGCGGTATATGGCATACACACTAACCAATGAGAACGTGATACGGAAGTGCGCAATTGTCAATTGCATCGATTGAACGAACAAGTAAAACGTTATAAATTATTATAGTGATTACTGAATCAACAGTACTGTGTATCGAATATATTAACTTAGCAGAAGTTTGAGTCACCAATCTCGCGTAATAAACTTACTCAATCAATCCAGGATTCATATATATACTCGACGCACTAACTATATTGGTAATCCAGGGTAGTTTTACATTTAGAGTCGATTCTCGCAACCAATCAAATCAAGGCTTTCTGTATCACGTTTTCACCTGCAGTATATGTCATATTCACCTGTGGTGTATGGCATATTCCGCAAGTGAGTATGACATATTCCGCAAGTGAGTATCGGGTATTTACTGAAATCAATGTATCGCATATTCACTGCAGAATATCGCATACTCACCTGCGGAATATGCCATATACCGCAGGTGAGTATGGCATATTCACCCGTATCACAAATACCGCGTAACCATGAATGTTTGCCATATACTGCGTAACACAACAGACATGTTTTACACTCAGAATAATACATGCTGTTGTTCTCAACTTTTTTTATGTCTGATGGTTTTTCCAACTGTTCATTGTTTTAGAATTCATTAAGAAGCATTTCCAGTATTTTTAATTGGGTGTAATAGTTGTATTTATCTCTTAGTTTGTTTATTACAAGTGACGTGGTAACTTGTTGATGGCAAAATAGAGCCAAATTGGCCACACCAACCCATTCCACCTGATGATCTCATAGACATATAGTCGCATAAAGATTGCAACGGTTGCTTTGACAGAAGTAGACGTTGAAAGATCTATGAATGAGGATTTTGATGCAAATGATATAAAAGATGACTAAGTGAGATCAGCTCATAATGTACTATGTCCCTACGCATAATGTGACAGCCGCATTCTGCATAATTTTATTATCATAAGCAAATACAATATATCAAATGGCCCAGATGAAATATCCATTGATTAAATATTATCAGACATACTCAAAATAGGTTTTTAAAAATGTTTCCATGCTAATGACTCCTAATTTGACGAAGATTTTCACTGGCTTAGGGTGTGTCTTAAAATTTTACGAAATGTGTACTTTTTTTAACAAATAGATTTCTACCCACATTTGACCAACATTGGTGAAACTTGTCATCATGGTAGGACATGGTAAGTAGTAGATTGTCTGTAAATATCATAATGATTGTTTTGATATTTAAGGAATTATAAATGGCTTTCATAGTACGTCCTAATGTGTATATTTTAACAAATGATTTCGGTTACCATAGCAACCATTTGCCCCGCATTTGTGAACTTTGTCATAGTGGAAGAACATGGTGAGTAGATAATTACCTGCCAATAACAAGATGATTGCTTAGATATTCTAGGAATTATATATGGCTTTCATAGTACCTCCCTTAATGTGTACTTTTGAAAAAATGATTTATGTTTCCATAGCAACCAATTGATACACATTCATGAAAATTGTCATGGTTGTAAGACATGATATGTAGACGATTACCTGTAAATATCAAGATGATTGGCTGTATATTCTAGGAATTATAGATGGCTTTCATTGTACCCCCATAAAAAATCATACCAAGGGGTATAAATCTGCATAGTATAGTAACCAGTAAACCAACACTGATGAAACTTTCCATGATAGTCAAACATAATAATGTGAATAATATCTGTAAATAACAGGACAATTGGTTATTTATTTTCTTCAAAAATTTGGACACAAGTTAAGAATTATTTGGAAAAGTGCCACGTCCACTTTCTAAATTAATTTGCATTGCCATATAATCATGAGCAATCGATTTCACTGTGTGGATAGGATAAAACACCACTTGATTTAATATTATCAAACATACTCTGAATAAGTTTTCTAAAATGTTTTTATGGTGTTTCTTTCCAATTTCATTAAGATAATATGTGTCTTGTCTCATGGGGTGTCTTACATTTTGACGAAATTGTGTACTTTTTGACATATGATCTCCGTTTCCATAGCAACCAGTTGACTAACTTTGATGAAACTTATTACTTTTGTAGTACATGATAAGTACATGATTACCTGTAAATATCAAAATGATTGGTTGTAAATTCTAGGAATTTTACATGGCCTTCCTAGTACCCCCCTCAAAATCAAACAAAGAGGGGAATAAATCTGAATATTTATTCAAAACGCTGAAAAATTAGACACCAGTATTTTCAGAATCAATGTAGAATCATAAACCACAAATTACCTACATAAAGAGAAATTTGCTATTTTTCAAAACCACTTTTACACCACGCTCATCCAGTATAAGGTGAATGGGGTTGACTTTACATCAGAATAATCGTCCAGTTTCAAGGTTTCCTAATGAATTAATAGGGGGGTGTACGATTCTCTTGAATTTGGACATATCTAAAATCTCTGATAACTTCTACACGAATTTGATTCGGTATTCTAGTTTTAATTATTTATTTCAACATTTTAGGATTGAAAAATCTATTTTATACTCTTTATTCCGTCTTATCTGTTTAGTTCAATATATGTTCCATGAACAGAGCTCATTATTATGAGGACTTTTGGAAAGTGAGTTTGAAAGCGAATTCCCTCTTTGATACAGACGTTACTCTCCTTTGCTTAAACAGGAATTCTTACCAAAACATTTTGTAATGTTAGTAGCAAATCTCTCTGTCATAGACTTCTTGTGTACAGATTTATAAATAGGTTTTGATACATCTTCCAAATACACAGCAGCGAGTGCGTTCTGTCCAGATGACATCGTGCTTGAACATAAAATAAGTATTGTTATGTTAGATAAGTTGCTGGAAAACTATAGATGTGCTATGTTACTTAACGTAGCATGCGTGTTAAGAAGCTACTTCGTCGTACTTAAAGATTCGCGCAATCTTTATCCAATCAGCGTTTGCAATGTGTATCGGCTCAAGTATAAAAGGCGAATCCAACTCCATATCCATGAAGGGGTGTATGAGGTACTCGAGTCGGAAAGAGCTGGTGAAATGTGAATTTACATGCACGTGGTCAATGTTTACACATGTTTGGAGTTATTAGAAAATGTGATATGGGGGTGGTTCCGAATTTGAAGTCATTGCTGGAAAATATATGATTTTAATACGTGAAATTATATCTATAAATACAGCACTGAAAAATAACAGTACACATGAAGTACATGTATGATTGTGTCCAGAAATGTTTGAAACCCTTACGAAAAATTCTGTCTGCATTTAGTCAATATTGCTCTTTCTTCCCGCAGTCGAGTGCTATTTGAATGGATATATTTATTTATGTATTTCTAACTAAAACGTATATCACATTTTTTTATAAACCACAAACATTTATATCATAAAAAACCATTCAATACTTGAGTGAGCACGATATGCAAGGGTTACTAAGTTGACTAAGTAAATGACCACTGATATTGAGTTAGTCCATGCACACAGCGTATTCTGCTACACATTAGCGAACACCCCTCACTTTCATAGTGAAGTGACTAATTGGTTTATGTTTACGTTTTGATGTGTTTTGTGTTCCTTGTTACAGCAAGGGGGACCAGTAAAGTAGACTAACATGTTTGCATGGCAAGTTTTGATCGAATATGTGAGACACTTTAACCGCTTTTATTTAGAAACGCCTGGAGATTCATTTGACCCATCTTATGACTAATTGCATAACGGCTACTGCATCTCTATCACTTTGAAATATATGCATGCATTATTTAAAATTCACACATGGCTAGGCAAGGTGTGTCCGATTCCAGCCAAACCAAACACAGTATTTTTACATGATAGCAATGCATGAAATAATCAATAACGCATCTGTTGTATATGCTTGTTAGGGTGATGAGATTGCAATTGACCCTTGCAAATATATTGAAAATATGTTTTTAGTGATTTATCATATTTAAGGTGATTTTGTAGAAAATATTTTGCAATGTGTGAAAGAATTTAAGCCCAAGACTAAACGCATTGTAGCTGCTTCATTCCACTCAGGCGTTGTTTCCCAAAGCTTGCATTGCCGCTGCGCGATCGTGCAAAGATTTGGAAACAACACCTTCATGGTATGATTCAGCAAACACAGAGGCCAGGGCTTAAATCCTTAAAGTGCCCGATAAAGTATAAAATGCGCATGCGTCCAGGTGTTGATAAACTATAAATAGCGAAAATCCAGGGTTTGTCACCACAAGGTAAGCCAGGACGTGTTGAGAGAACAGCTAGTGTTGATATTGAATTTATATGTAGCCAGATAAGTTTCCTTATTGAAATTACATATGGTTATTAGCAATACTTTGTAGGTGCTAAATAATAAAATATTTAGAGTATATATGAGAGAAATTGGTCATTTCGAACCTGTTGAAAAGTTTGTGGCTCTCGGCTACACCGGGGAATTTACTTCCATGAGTACACACATAAATGTGGGGTTCCCTAAGAGGTACGCGACAAGGTGACCTGGCATCAAATGCTACTATCGAGAAGATAAAATAACGAATACGACAATAAGTTATTGCATGTGACAATTCCGAGCCTTCATCTCACTGAAGTATTTTGAAGTGAAAATAGGATTTTTGTTTTGATACATGGATTCAGATGAACGTAACTTTATTCTGACAACTAATCAAAACTGAACAAAATTGATTGTACGTAACAGACAATTTATTGTTTTACAATGTTTTGATTGGCTAAACGAATGAAACCAACAAATTATGACATGTGAAATGACAATTTTGAAATGTAAAATTTAAAAGTGACAAACACAACCTCCCTATCCACTCTTTGGGAACCCTAGTAAATTAGTAATATGTACATGCAGCAGTGGTAGTGTGCAGCTTATTATCACACTACGCTTTGTATTCTAAAGCCTGTTGTTTGTAATAACACTGTTCACTCAACGTATGTTTTATGTGTGGGCAGTCAACGATAATCATTGTTTTATCCCGGTTATATGACCTCGGCAATTATAACAAAACCGTACTAAACGAAAAAACGCAAATAAGAGAAAGCTTTCACACACATATAAAAAATGAACTAGTCTAATCCGCCAGTATAAACTCTGTGCTATACGTAGCCGGGTCAGGCGCACACTTTAAACGTATCGCGTAATAAAAAGTATGGACTCTTTATGCCCACTCTGCACTTTCTTTGCTTTACCAAAACCTTTAATGACCGCACCACCCCCCCCCCCTCCCCCCTCCTCCCCGTTCGTTTGTCTTTTATTTATTCACTGTAAACATCAATCTGAACACCTTTTACTTCCAAAAAGTTTAAAATTTGAGTTACCTCAGAGCAGCTGCCGTCACAGTAACAATAAACAACCCGGCCATTCCCTTCATGGAGCCGAACAAATCCATCACTAAATATCCTAGCATCTACAAATTATAAGTAGGAACATGAGTAGGAATAACTGACATGGATTTCAGGCACATATCTTTTATATTTCTGAATTCATTGACATTTGAATTCGTCACAAACCCCTGATCGAGTTGTCAGAGAAATGCAACAGTCTATGTCACATTTTGTAAATTATTACACACATTTTCAACCATAATAGCAATGATTTTTGTATTTGATAAGTTGAGCATTTCCTCATATCTTTAAATTGCTGCGTTCGCTCTTTTAACATAGAGTTTTCATCAATAGCATGTGCATCAGTACCTTGACATATTGGTATGGTCCAATGAATTGTGTTTCTATACCTGATCTGATTGCTTTACAAGACCGAGTTTTTTTGGATCACAGGTAGCATATGTTGCAAACATCACTACTCCTATCATGCAAATGATGCATACACATACAACATACAAGGCCATGTTGATATAAAGCACTCTACAAAAGAAAATGCACGTGACTTTTTATATACAAAGAAAGTATGACACTATAAAAAGCCAACTGAAATATCACACTACCCTACCACGTGACCACGTTTAAAAGGGAAACAGGGTACAGCTAAGTTGCAAATGGAGGGCGTGGGTTTAATTCCATATTTCTGAACGTAAAATACATTTTACATTTATTTTTAGTGTTCTACCAGACATAGAATTGATTCATCAAGCAGTTTGTAGAATATTGTTGGCAAAAAACCACTATAGGCAAAGATAGATAATAGTGGGCGCAGTGAAGCAAAACTTAATGCAATACACGATACATTTCAGTAAATCTGTCAACGTACAGGGAGCATGTAAGTTTCCCTTCGAAAATGTTACATTGATATGTAACAAAACCCCAGTTAACTGTTATTTAAAGTTTTTAAACTGCTTGTCTTCGTGTTATATGTGGATACGTTTTCCAGTATGTTATTCAACTGTACTTTTGTGAATTAATTGTTTTTCTAAAATCTTAAGATGCAAAATAGTCGTCCCAGAAATGTATCTTTACTTTGCCGTAAGGCATAACATATTGTGAAACATTTTTCCTCTTGTCACAAGGAGGATAATGTTTGTTTCGAGGTGTCTTGTGATGAGCGTTTCATGATTAAATGCAAAATCACTGGAGCAGATACCATCCAAAAACATCTGACATTCAACACGTCATATAAAACTACATCGATCTGGTATTAGTTTCTTTTTACAATAATAGAGAAATACGACGTCATATCACCTCTACAGCAAATCGTGAAGAACAAAATGTCGTGGCATGATGGTATTTTGAACAAACTAACTGATCGGTTTTTTAGAACGGTAGTGAATTAGACCATTCAAGGGGTTATATAGAAAGATTCTTTACATGTAGTTCACGCAATTTTAATTATTCTGAATAGCGGATAGTCATTAATCCTGATAGCCAATAGTCATTTATCACTTACGTGTTTATATTTAATTTCGTTATTTTATTTCAATTTGATACCCTAGTAACACGTATAATCTAGCGTTCTTGTTAATTTAATGACTAAAATGCATTTACGACCTGAAAGCCCGTGTCTAAATCTACTAAATAATGTTTACTTTATTTGGATTAAATAACAATTGATGACACCTCAAAGCATCAACAGGCGGCCTTTTTAGTATTATTTTCACTGTTTGCAACGTAAATATACATGAGATCGGGACATAGTATGTCTGTATAATCAGCTTACTTTCTCGCTCCCTGTACTATTGAACAATTTACATTCCTTGTACCCTGTATTGATCAACTTTTGCAGCTGTGTACCGTGTACTATGACATATCAAATATTTTAAAATTTAAAACGATATTATTTACATTATTTCTTCAACTATCATATAACTTGGAACATGGACTTCACTATTGCACCACTGAAGTTCAGCGAATAGCAATATTGACTCACTCCGAGCACCAAACGTATTAACCTTTTCACTAAGCAGTCGATATACTCAAAAGCGACCTGATTGAAAGCCAAAAAATTCGCGCATGCGCTATCGAGGTAGGGTAGTGTGAATATGTGTAGTATGTGTAACACGTAATACTCAAAAGCAATAGCGAGTTCTTCAATAACGTGCCCGTTAACGGAAGGAACATGAATCAATATAAGAATATGTAAGGCGCGCATATAAATTTACATGCGCTTCAAGCGCTCTAGGCTGCTCCAAACTCAATCAGCTTCAGAGCTTTGTAGTTGGAACGTCAAACTATGGTGCCGTCTAAGCACAAACACAGAAGCTGAACGGTAGGGTAATTCAAACGGAAATATTACATGCAATGTACTGTATATGGATAATTGATACGTTATACGTTTTCGTTTCGATTTCATATGAAAGCTTAAACTCTATAAATCCGAGTCACAAGATGCATTATATTAAAAGGGGAGAGCACCGGGACGCAACTCAACGATAGATGTTTACATCACAAAGATGGCCAAAGATACTTTAAGGAACCAATCAAATTACTTGATGCGTTAAGGTTAGACCTTTGGCCATTTTTAATTGCAGTCTAAAACTAAAAAACTCTTACTCATAATAAGTCTGGACGTCATACAACCGTAAATATGTAAAATAAATAGACCGGGTACCTACCTCTGGGCTTTTCTTTTGGTATCTAAAGTAAGGTATCTTTGAACGAAATGCTGACTGCTTGAAAACATAGCAGTGTATAATAAACCAATCCCAAACATCATTCCCCATAAACTATGGCGGGTTCTAGGATCTGGATTCAACCTGCAATGACATTCAATGGAAGAAGTTATTGAAGGTAATGATCAGTTTGCAGTTTTATGAAAATAACAGTTTTGAAAGTGAATCGAAACTATTTAGTATCTGGGGAGAATATTTGGGTATTTGACTTCTAGGTAAACTTAGTACGGATTACGGAACTATGGTAATTGGTACACGGCTTTAATATCTAAAAAATCTAGCGGGGCACAATACCTATTATGTAATACTTGAGGAAAATACAAAGAGTTTGGATAAAAAGTCGTACTCATTATTCATGGTCCACCATGGATGCTTTTACTTACTCGTCAAATTCTATTCTACCATGAATATCTGATATTTCAAATGCTTTATCGAGACCTCCAATGGAAATCGATCCTTTGATGATAATTGCAAGACATCCAGAAAGCATGAGACCAATTTGTAATGTATCGGCCCAGAGTACGCCTTTTATACCTCCCTACAAAAGTATCTGTGTAGTATTGTTGAACAATGAATTCTTTTAGCCGATCACGTTGCATTAGGTATTTACAATATCGACATATTTTTAAATGTATTAAATGATTTTACAGAGTGGGCCAAAAAGAGTACACATTAATATTAAGTCCATCTTGAGAATCCTAGCAACTATATATGGATGATATATCAGTTAAAAGATAATCCGATGTCCATGAAACTGTTACACAATGCATGACATTTTGAAGAATCTCCATGTATTCGCCTTATATTAAGTACATGTACCATAGAGTTAATTTTGCCAGTTACCACGCTGCTTTGTCGTTATGCCATAGTATCACGATGAGTATGTCGTAATAGGTTCTCGTTAAACGCCTCTGATTTTAATACCCTTAGTATTGTTTTTACATACAGGCACCATCAATTATTATCGAGCTAATAATAATAGATTTACCTTAAATGAAATATCAGACTATTCCTCAAACAAATGATAAAATTATGGACTAGTTTTTTCAATGAAGGACTTCTTGTATCAATTCTAGCAGTATCAATAGCATGTCAAGAACGTCATTTCAAAGGGCAATATTAAACAAATACTGGATGATCAGGAGCTGGATATGGCAGAATACCTATTCGAGAAAAAATATTGGGCGAGGCGGCAGCCGAGCCCAATATTTTTTCAAGGATAGGTATTCTGGCCATATCCAGCTCCTGATCATCCAGTATTTGTTTTATTATGCACCTCCCAATCAAAGTTAAGTGGAGTACTTAAAATACAAAGAGATATGTATAAGCTGTCTTAAAACAAATAAACTAGTAATAAGAAGGAAATACTCATGTTTTATCAACAATAGTACATTTATTACAAGGAATTCATTAATTCCAGAAACCTGAATATACAGATTAATACATAAGTTAACAGCAACATTTTACAATGGTTGAATAACAGACCATTGGGGAAACTGGTCAAACACATATGAGATGCTTTAAAAAGCAGTCAATGTTCAATAATCATAATGTCACTTAGTGTAAAAGTTGACACTACAGTTAGAGAAATGAAAGTTTTTGATAACACTACTTCCACCATAGACTGGTGACAGAGTAACAGACTGTTGGATTTGAGTGTTGTTACTGTTGGATTTAGATGCAGTTTCAGCACTGTCACTTGTCATAATGTAAATTACAAGCAACTAAGAACCAATCAGATTTGAGTATTTTAATGAGGTGCATAATAATAAACAAATACTGGATGATCAGGAGCTGGATATGGCAGAATACCTATTCGAGAAAAAATATTGGGCGAGGCGGGAGCCGAGCCCAATATTTTTTCAAAGATAGGTATTCTGGCCATATCCAACTCCTGATCATCCAGTATTTGTTTTATTATGCACCTCCCAATCAAAGTTAAGTGGAGTACTTAAAATACAAAGAGATATGTATAAGCTGTCTTAAAACAAATAAACTAGTAATAAGAAGGAAATACTCATGTTTTATCAACAATAGTACATTTATTACAAGGAATTCATTAATTCCAGAAACCTGAATATACAGATTAATACATAAGTTAACAGCAACATTTTACAATGGTTGAATAACAGACCATTGGGGAAACTGGTCAAACACATATGAGATGCTTTAAAAAGCAGTCAATGTTCAATAATCATAATGTCACTTAGTGTAAAAGTTGACACTACAGTTAGAGAAATGAAAGTTTTTGATAACACTACTTCCACCATAGACTGGTGACAGAGTAACAGACTGTTGGATTTGAGTGTTGTTACTGTTGGATTTAGATGCAGTTTCAGCACTGTCACTTGTCATAATGGGTGTATTCCACAAGTCCTCCATTATACCAAAGTCACCTACATCATCCCTATCGATGAGTTGTAATGGTGTTGTAGCAAGTATATCACTAGTACTACTAGAGCTAGACGGTAGTTGTGTACTATCAGTACTATAAGAGCAAGATGGGAGTTGTAATTGTCCTGGCAGTGTGCTAGAGCTTGATGGCAGTGCTAGTAATGGTCCCTGTAATACTGTTCTTAAAGTGTCGGATATTTTACGCTTCTTGTTTACAGTGACATTTGTAGAATAGTTCTCGATACTTGTAGTGGACTTGTGGCCACTTATGGCTTTAATATGTCTTGCTTCATATCCAAGGGAATCTAGCATTGTAATACATGTAGCTCTTATACAATGATTTGTGTATGTTTTACTTAACTTTCCCATTGCAGATATTTCTTTCGTTTTCTTGCTCAGTGATTTCATCCCAAGAGGGGAATTGCAGTACCAGATATCATCCTCAACAAATGAGTTGAGTGGTCTTTGCCACAGCCACTCACAATCTGGATTGAGTTTCGACACATATTTCTTGTATGAAGCTACAGGACAGTGTACGGTACATGTTTCATATATACGTCCCTGTGAATTTTCATCAGAAGACTTACGATGATTTTTGTCCATTTCATCCTTGTATTGATAGATATATTCACGTCCAGAGCCATCTTTTGCAATTTTAAATGTATCTTTTGTCATCTCTCGTAGATTTTCTCTGCCGCGGCGACAGAGATACAGCATGATTTCGAAAAATACCTTATTCTGTAAACCAACTGGTGCTAGAGTGTCAAATACTTAAGTCGTGCCTCCATATAACTTCTGAATATCTTCTTCCTCAATTGGCTCCTTGTGATCTGTGGAACCTGAAAATAAAGGAATCGGACACGTAAACAAAAATGAAATTAGCTTAGCTTTGACAAAAGTATAAATTATATGTACACCTATTCAATATTCTCATGTTACATAAGACTTCACTTACCATATCCATCCTTCTTGTTTTGACACAGTAAAGCATCAAAAATTTGTCGAAATCGAAGGAATGCTGCATCGTTCTTTAGGTCAATATCTGAATTTGCTGCTAAATACTTTGTTATGCCATACTTGAATGATACCAGGGAATTTGTTTTGTATTTCTCATCACCCTTTCTGATACCACTGAAGAATTCAATCAAATTTTCACATATGTCTTCCCTCTCTAAATTTTCGAAATCTTCTCTTACATTGTTTTGACTCAGAAAGTCGTTAAATGCTCTTTCGGCTTTAGCGATCTGTTTCTTTGTGTTTGCAGATTCCCTTGAATCTAAAATAACTTGTATTTCATCCTCATTTACAGTCTTAAACTGTCTTTTAGTTGACATTTAGATTTCTATTTCTTTTTTCTTTCAAAACTCAGACGACTTCCGGCCAGGCTACATTGGACGAAAATATTTGCCCCGGGGAATTTAATTTTTATTTATTCGAGACGTTCTTGCAGAATTATATGTAACTTTTGAATGATAAGGGTAATCGTGATTGATTAAGTGCATTTTTTCTTCTATTTTCCGCCAGTTTCAGATGTAAGTTTTAAGTAGTACTCCAGTTATTAAGAAATAAAACTCTGAAGTGGGAATGTTGCAAAAACATTGAAAAAAATATCCGACCCTTTTTCTCGAAAGGGTCAGATATTAAAAAAATATCCGGCAGTTTTCAGAAAAGAGCAGAGTATTGCCAAATTACAAGCAACTAAGAACCAATCAGATTTGAGTATTTTAATGAGGTGCATAATAAAGTGAAATATTGGACCAAGGGCCGCAGGCCCAAGCTCCAATATTTCACTATTTTGCCCGCAGAAATGACGTTATTACTATTATTACCACCGTTAATGCCCAGGGCTGAAATTACAAATTTGAAATAGAAAATCTTACGCACTGAACGATATCACTTTTCCCGGGAAACATAGCTGGGCGGATAATGCCATTATTGCCCGACTAAAGTCATTAACGCCCGACACAATATTGCTCACGCCAATATAGCCGAAATATTGGACAAATTTTGTGCAATGGCAATTTAAATGCCTTCTCAACTAGTACTAAAACCCCTAGAACAGGCCCTGCAAGGTGGTAATAATGGGTTTTAGGGAGAATTATGGTACGATGGGTTAAAATGTACACAAACCTCCTTTTTATTATTCAAATAAATGATACCTAATAATTATAACCTAGTTTAGTTATTTTGTTTTGTTATTACTTACAACTGTTGTATACAGCATACACACAACACCATTCAATACAATGGTACCCCAGAGTGGTATTTCACTTACTAAATAAAGAAGCCCATATAAATTAGAATGTGGAATTGTGTGAATTCAGCAATTCAAATCAAATAATTTGAAAGTAAAGGTTAGGAAAGCACTCTGCTATACCTAGCCTCTAGAAATCAATAAGATACTCTGTTTGTCTAATTGTACAGGGTAACACAAAAATGCCACCCACCTTTCGTTACATAACTTGTTTGTCAATTAACATATAGACTTGTTCTTTGACACATTTAAAGTAGACATGATGCAATTTAAAGTAACTCAAGAAACTTTAGATGTGTAGCTCGAGTTGGTCAAAATTAATGAGCGTTACAAGATTTGCTCAGCATATTGCTCATCCCTTTGCAGGCACACTTGGATTCTACACAAAAATGCCACATACATTTTGTAACATAACTTTGTAAATACTAAAGATTTTTGCTTATGTGCTTTCAGGGAAAAAAGTACGGTCAGTCAGTCACAAAATGATTTAGTTGTCATTGATATAATCATTATATCACTTTTCCCAAATTTTGTTACAAAAGGTTGTGTAAAATCCAGGTGTACCTGTAAAGGAATAGACTACACATCTTGTAATTACACTCATAAATCTGCATTTATTAGAGCTAGTCATCTGAAACGTCTTGTGGAGTTGCACCATGGATGTTAGTTTAAATGTGCCATAACACAAGTCAGAATTTTTGCCGACAAAAAAGCTGTGCAACATTATGCGGATGGGTGGCATGAAATGAAAGTAAATATACTAGAAACACTTCGTGGAAAGGAAAAATAGATTTTAATAAAAAAAATTATAATTAACAATAATTGCCTTCAAATCACAGATTGTGACATATGGTCAAAAGTCCTTATACAATCAAGGGAAAATCAATACCCGGTGATTTCTGCGGAAAGTGGCGTTTCGTTCAGTGGATGAGCTGCGCGCGCACGCATAAATGTGATTATCCAATATTATTTAGGGGAGGGCTATTTGAAATAGCTTTTGGTCTCAGGCGCGACCCAGGGGGGACCCAGGGCTGTTGTCTTAAGGACATTTGTTGAAAATGAGCCATTCGGCTGATAATTGGTAAGAGTTTGCGATCTTATAATGCATAACTGTTACTCAGACACATATTTTGACACGATTCTGTTGGAAATAAGCTTTGAACCGAGGATATTCACGATTGATATGCACATTTTTGATTGTGCCAATGCTTTTCCATTGCACAATCCATTTATTGATAGAAGTAACATTAATAATGCAGATTTTTTTACCTTCAATACATGGCAGACACTACATATCGGTCTATTAAACTCCAGTTTGTGCCTTAAATAGTTTTATATTTCCATCCGCGGCCTGGAGCCTGGGTGTGTTTGTCTCTTATGTGTATGCTTGTGAATTGGTGGGGCTGGTAGGGCACCAATCCCCTGGCCCCGTCCATTCTTTATTCTACTTCCCACTTACTCGAGTCTCTATAGCCAATTACCGGAATTTCCAGAGGGCTTGGGAGAAGATAACTGTCCCACCAGGTACCTCTGGGGGTCAAGATTGGATTGGACATTTGAAGTAAGACTGGTCTATAACTGTGGCACGAACCCCCAACCCCCGGGCCCCAACCAAACATACCTCCGGGCATACCTCACTTACGAATCAGTAAGGGGGTAAAGGTCGGGGGTAAAGTAAGTATCATGAGGGGGGGGGGCGTTGCAGAATTTAACATGATGCAAACTCGACATTATAACTCTTGCTGTAACATTTTGACTTCGCTGGAAAACAATAGGAATTATTTTTCTTACCAATCAATCATGAATCACAATCAAAATTTCAGAATGATCAATCGGGTAATGGTTAACATTATATGATATTCAGCAAGAAGTCCGGTAGAAATATAGAATATTTAAACACCAAAGCTGAAAGTTAAAAGCTAATCTGTCAATTTTCTGTCTGCAAAAGAGCGTTTACATTTGACACAATAACAGACTGAGGCTTTGGAATCTAGGATTCCCCAGGAAAAATATGACGTCATACTAATTAGCATAAGGATTTCCCTATTGGTCTGGGTCTAGCCTTGTTCGAAAACACAATCCATAAATACATGCTAATTTCTAAGGAGATAGGAAGTGTATAACGTGTTTATCGATTTTGTTTAAAGATTTAATCAATTATCAAATTGTTTAAGTGGATAAAGTGGTCACACTTGCTTCAATTCATAGCGTAATCGACGGATAGAAACTGACCAAATTCCCGATATCCTACCCCGTATTACTGTAGGCTATTAAGCACAGTGACCTACAGAGAGCGCTATCACAAACAAGTACTGCACGAACCGATAAATGCCCGGGTATTGTAACGCCCTTGATACAATCATACGATGTAAAAATATCCGTTTTTGTAGCGATAAGTGAATACCTTGTGTTAGTGTTATCGATGATGCATAGAGACTTATGGAGATGAAGACCAGCTGCAATCAAATATGATTAAAAGTGTAATAATTTATTATTTAGTTATAATCATGGTAAATACAGACTGTAGAGGGAATAATCCAGATGCAAGTACGTAGGTATGGTTTTCACCACCAGGTGGCTGATTCGGGTTACACAACGTGGCAGGTGTGGTACAAAGTTGACTTAGTCTATTCCTCAGTTCTAGTAGATTAATTTTAATATTTCCCTGTGATATAGCCTGAAGATGAATGGACATTTCAAACTGTTTTTATTACTTGTATTTTATTAGGGTTGTAACAACTTGAAAACAATTTCGTAAACTTACGGTACTTACAATTTGAAATGAATATAGAATCACAGCTATGATTCGTATCGACTTGTTAAATCGTAGTTCAAGGTACTGAAAATGAATAAAAGATGATTATAAAACAAAAAGATCGTATAAGGAGGTTAAGCTACACTTAAGAAAACGTGCCTAAACTATTTCTTCAAATGATAGGAGCTTGGAAATGTATATTCATATTGAAAAAGAGCAGAGGTTCTTTGCCAATAAGATATCAGCCTATAAATGTTGGTCCAAAATCCATTATTTTGGACCATAAATGGTATTTTAGTTATCAAAAAGCACATATTTTAAAAATGGTTGCCATTTTTAAATTCAGCGGCCATCTTGGAAATTGATATTTGTCAACATATAAAATTTGAACCAAATCCATTGATTGGTGTTTGAGTTCTCAAAGATTACATTTTTACAAAAATGGTCATTTTGAAATGAGCGGCCAGATTGAATATACCATCTTTAGAAGAGGTTCCATACCCATAAGACATAAGCTTATAAAATTTGAATCCGTCAACGCCGGTTATTTGAGTTATCGCCCGGACAATCAAACGCACGGATGGACAAATGGGGGACGGACGGACAAATGAAGGGGCGTCTTCTACGTCTATCCCAACTAACTTCGTTCGATGAGATAATGAATATATCATGCAAATCTCCTTTACAACAATCAATTAATTCAATTCAATTTCAATTCAATTCAATTATTTATTTCATAATTCTTATATAATATACACTATAAAAACAAGCCGCTAGACACCCTAGTGGGTATATGTTGCGGTTTAACAGAAATCATTAAAATGACAACTAGACTACATATAAAAGAAAACACTTATATTATGTTACATGTAGGTATATAAAAATGATATTAACAATTAATCTAAGGATGTACAATGTAAAAATGTTACAAAAATAGGTACCAGTATAATTTTGGGAGTGGTGACTTAGACCATGTCTTGAGACATCACCCGTTGTGAACACGCATAAGTCATGCAATCTGTGTTAAATGGTGAGCGGCCTCGTTTAGGGGACCTGGGAGACATAGTCTAGTGTCTAAGTTTCCCCGAACCACCGTCAGTGATTATGTGACAGGTAGAGTATATTTAGTTGATCCTAGGATGGTGACATTGGTGGTGTCACTCCTATTGTCATTTTTGTAGAGAAAGGCCGGACATCCCGATCCAGTAGTGGATCTTCTCCCTTACTTGTGAGTCACAGTAAGGGCCCAAGATGTTTCGAACTCATAGTTGGTGGTCCATGATATGTTCTTCATCAGCAGCCTAATGAGGGGGAGGGGGAGGGGGGATGAGTTGTCCCCGATTTTGTTTTGTTTTGGGATTGTTTCCAGTTGGAGACAGTTAGTTGGGTACTAAGTAAATTGGTATCATAGTTTGGTTGTGTTTGCAGATTGTGCCTGATTGTATTTAATAGTGTAGTATAATTGATTCAGTATTGGGTTGTGACTGACTTTGTTGCGGTGGTTGGTGTCAGGTTGTGTTGTGATGATTCAACAATAGGTTGATTTCAAATTGATCTCGTTGGCTATGTTGTATTGTGTTGGTTTGTTGTTTGGTTGTGCTCGATTGTGTTAGTTTGATAGTCGATTGTGTTTTGGTGGTTGTTTGTTTGGTTGAGCCTGGTTGTGTTGTGTAGGTTTGGTATCGGGTTGTGTTTTATTAAGTAATGTTAATTTCAAAGTGGTTGTGTTATGTTGTGATTGTGTTGTGCTGGTCGGGTAGCGGGTTGTGCCCAGTAGGATGAAGTATCTGGTTGTGTCAGATTGTGTTGCGTGATTGGTGTTGTTTTCGGAGAGTGTTGGTTGGGTGTTTTGGTATTCCAGTTTGGTTGTGCCTGATTGTGTTTTGATTGTTTTGTGTAAAATTGTATTTTGTTTCATCAACAATGGGTTGTGTTTAGGTTTTGTTGTTTTATTATTTGGTTGTGCCAAATTGTGTTGCGTATATTTGACAATTGTGTTATGTTAATTTTAAAATGTGTCGTGTTATGTTGTGATTGTGCTGTGCTGGTCGGGGGGGGGGCAGGTTGTGCCCAGTCGGGTAAGGTATCTGGTTGAGTTCGATTGTGTTGTGTGGTTGGTTGTGCCTGATCGTTAAATGATGGGTGGTGGCGGGTTGTGCCCGATTGTGTTATGATAGGTGGTTGGTTGTGCCTGGTCGGGTGAGGTATTCGGTTGTGTTCGGTTGTGTTGTGTAATTGTTGTAATCTCTAGTTCGAGAAAGTT